TGTTTTAAAATGTGCTGCATAGTAAATTTGATTAGATTTTCATACCAAAAAGAAAGATGAGACCCTAGAAGCCATGTGCTTCTAGGGTCTCATCCCTAGAAGCACATCTTACTCGCTCCCTATGAAAATGATAGCCAAGCTTACCTTAAAAGCCCTCATACAAAGTTTGCATTGATCGCTGCCAGTGTAAAGCAACATTTATTAAAGAAGGGATATATGTGACTATGTGAGGCTGTGGCTGAAACTGGCTAAACTTTAAAAGAAAAAAATGCTTTTTCTTTCCTAAAGATGCAGTCATCATTCAAACTAGTTGCAGTCACATGCTGGGGAGCTGCTGATCTTCTCATTTAACTTTCCATTACAGAAGAAGTAAGCGTGTTTCCTTGAAGTGTTTACCGCATAGACTCTGAGAAAAAAAGGCCTACATTCCCTTAGCTAGAAAATATTATACAATGGCAGCCTTTAAAGGACAAGTATATTTTTTAAGTTGAGGGCAGTCAGTAAGCCTCACTAGTTTGTAACACAAGATAACATGTTTACCTGGACAACTGAGATGAGCCAGAAGATCCAATAGCATTTGTCGCGTCACATCAAGGCAAACTTCAGAAAACTCTGAGGTATGGCAAGCTTTAAAAGTGATATATTTGGAGAATAGTGTCAGCAGAGGAAATGAAGATGCAGGTCATTTGCTTTGCATGCTAAACATTTGAATCAGTTTTCTGAAATTAATTTTGCATCAGCCCTTTTTTCATTCGTATTGCTTCTTGTCATTCTCCACTTCATAGTATCTGATAAAAACATATTAAAACAAGCGGTCCATCCAGCCTGTCATCCTGTGGCTTGCATGTGAAGGAGGTACTTGTTTATCCTTAGCTCCCCTCTCTGGAGCATTAATGTCATCCATTGTACATGTGTCTTTTTGCAGAAAATAGAACAGTACGATGAATGGAGGAAACAACAGGTGCATTAAGGAGATGTCCTCCACTGGGCTCTTAAAAGATATTCAGCTCTGCAAAAACATACTATAGAAGGTTTACATAGTTAATGAGAGAAATACATTAGTGACCTTTAAAAACGCTGAAGTGTTGCTTATTCATAACACTCCTCTTGGCGTCATTTACTGAATGTGCATATTCCAAATAAACCATACGAGCAGAGCTGATGGCCTGCAGGGGGGAAGGGTCATGACCTGTTTGTGCTCTTGCAGTTTTAGAAAAGCAAACAGATTTCCAGAGTCAGAAAATCCCTTCTAAAAGGCTTCTAGGATTTGTGTGGTGAAGGTGGGTGCAGCAGAGATAAGCCTTTGGAAAAGTCAGAGGCCATTCCATCTAAAGACTGTGTATAAAGTCTGCGTTTCACCTTGACCTGGGTCACTTTATATGATATCGTGGAGCATTTAATGTCCATTACTATGTCTGTTTCAATCATATTTAGAAGAAGACCTCATACATTTTTCTGTTGTAGATTTATTTAGCGTGATACTTGTGTACACTCACAACCAGATTACCTACTGGCAATAATAAACATCCAGTACTCTCATGTATTTACTGAAACAGGAAAAAGAAAGATAAAGGTATCTTAATTTATTTTATGTGGTCGCTAATATAATAAAAGTGACCAAACATTCAAAAAAAAAAGAGAAAAAAAAGGCCAAACCCATTTCAGAAATGTTTCCATCAGTTTTATGGTGCTAAAAAGATTACTTTGCTTCATTCAGCCATGCTTCACAGAGGTCATGAGAATGACCAGGTCATGGGAAATGCATTGAATTGTATTTATCTCCTTTACCTCAGTTTGTTGAACAAATCTTGTTCTTTTAATTTCATTAAGCAGGCCAATCTACCCCTTTAATGGAGGGCTAAGCTGGTCTCCTGTACTGGAGACTGAATATAACCAAGGTGGCAATATTAGTGTTCTTGAGATTAGCTAAATCAAGTCTTACTTCATCTAGTACTCTAAATACTACGATCTAGCATTTTATTACACCGTGCATCTACTCTCCACTGTATTTTCCTCCTCCTTTTCTACCACAAGTAGATTGCTGACCATCTACCATCAACACCAAAGGATTTTCCTCTGAGGGTTCTCTCTTTAACTCTTTTTTCTTAATAAGACATTAATCTTCAGTTATGAGTCTCTTCTCTTACGGTAACTCAGGGTCAGTTGCCTTGGCACAGAATAAGCTTTGCAATGAGAAAATGTCTAAACAATGACTAGAAATATGGAGTTTATATCTTATACAAGAGGTGAATGTATAGCCATGTGACATCACTAAATGTGATATGAAATGTGACAGAGAAACTGAAACACTCATAAAGTAGCAATAAGCACAAAGTAGGTCCAACATGAGGATGCTTTATTGCCCCTTTTCACTCTAATGAGGACTAAACATTGGAAAAAATTGTGCTGTTCTTAGTAAGATGTTAAAGTTGGAAACAATTTATTGAGCTCATAGGTCAAGGAAGTCAACTTGCAGCCAAAGGATTTGCCTCTTGGCCATAAGAAAGAATGCAATTTTCAGGCTTCACTTTTTGGACATAGATGTTATTATAAATGGTCCTCTGTGTGCGTATTTTCTACAAACATCTTAGGTTACAAAATTTGCACCATTCAGCTCCGTTACAAGTTTATTAAAGTGTTAGATTTATTTCTGAAAATACTGACCGGCAGCCAAGCAAAAAAAAAAAGAAAAAAAAAGGGGGGGGGGGGGGGGGGGGGGGTCCAATATAAAACTAACCCTCTTTCTGAATCTGTATTTTTTTTTTCTTAAACACACAAAAAATATACTGTGCTAAGTACTGAGTTTGGGGCATAAAACTGACAGATTTCCCCTTGAAACAATGAAACAAAGCAGGTCTTGTAGTTGTGTGTGTATATGTTCATCTAAGACAGCTGGCTGCTGCTGGTAACTTTCTGTAGGAATGAGAGCAGTCTTAAACTTCCTCTTACTGCAGCAAGAAACAGAATAAATATAGTTGCAAGCTGTTGAATTATTCCCTTGAGAAATGTGATTAAAGTGATTTCCCTCTGGTTTTCAAAGGAATTTCCTTCCTTGTGTCATGCCGTGCTGAAGTATTTATATGCACAATTATGCTAACTTAATCCTTAACCAACCACAAAAATTAATATATAATTTGGATGCATCTGGTAGAAACCCAACAAGTGAGATTACCCAGATGGGGCTTCTTCTCCAGGACAAATCTAAATAAGGTTTTTTCAATGTCTGCGTAAATGCATCAGTCTGGAGCTGTTCTATAGACTCTTGTTTCTATTCTCTGTTTTGCTTGTTCCTTCTTTCTCTCTCTCATTTGCCTTTTTTTCTCCTCTCACCCCTTGAGAAGTAACTCAAGCCTTCAATTCTGTTTTCCTCTGTTTATTCCTGCAGCAATATACACACACACACACACTGACAAGAGGACCACCTAGAGTCACATCACGCACTCACTTCAAACCACTCAGGGCTCCACTCGTCTTTGCTTCACTTCATTTCACTCAAAAGTCAGCATGTTAACAAAGGACAGCGGAGGAGACTGCACCAAAATAATAATGGGTACTGCAACCCATAGGCTCCCATTGGGAGAGTTTATTTGTTACATGATCACTTGACATTCATTATTTAATTGGATGCAAGACTCCTGAATACATCAAGAGTTCAAATCAAACAACCCCCTCTTCCCACAGTTTCTATTCACAGTCTCTAATGCCTTTATAGGACATCAATGTTTTGTGAGATGCACATGAGGCATGAAGAGCCGTTTGGAGAATGCAGCACACAATTTAAATATATCCACAGTAGTTGCTCCTTTGGAAGTCAGTCAGATGCTCATCTAGCCGTAATGGAGAGAGAAGCAGTTCTGGAAATGGAAAGAGCTTCAGTCCCCAAATTCAGCCTTTAAGCTGCTTTAGAGGATTGCCGGGTATTTTTTTCTCTCCCTCGCTCTAAAACAGACTGCCAATATTGGCTCTAAACCAGAATGGGAGAGGGCAGACTCCCTGAGCTTTCACTGTGCAGTTGCACAGGGCAGAGAAGGGCCAAGCTGCTTTGTCTTGGCTTTGTAATCCACTCTTGAGTGACACGTGACGGCAGAGACTTCTGCCAGTAAGGTGTTGCCTCTCCCTGCTGTACACCCTGCTGTAAGAAGGGTGCACCTGACCTCAGCTGACCAGATTTAGTGAGTTTATTTTGAGAGAGATTTCCTAGACAAGTCAGAGTTTTATTACAGTATTCATCTTCTTTTTTCTAAATACATATGTGCATGTTGATCAAGGTTGAGTTACAAGAGCATCCTCAACTTCAGACTGATTTTAAAGGTATCCATGCAACAAAAGTGTATGCATAGTTGTTTAATTGTGCAGAGTTTTAAACAGTGTTGACCTTACTCACTGGAGTAAGTGGCATAAAAATTGGGTACTTCAAAAAGTAGGAAAGATACACCTTAAAGCCTCATGCTGTTATAAGGTTTTTGTGGGCAAGCATTTGATAAAGATCTGCAGAAATATAAAGTAAATTTCTAAAGCACCAGTATGGTCCCTGAATGCAATTCAGCTGAGATGAATAATGAAAAAAAAATAGCTATTCAGTAATTCAAGGGCAATAACCTGAAGTAACAGGGTCCCTGTTTTTATTAATTTATTTTTGTTTCTTTTTTTATTGAGTGGAGTTTGCCCCAATACACACACACACACTATCTAAAACACACACACACACACACACACACACACACACACACACACACACACACACACACACACACACACACACACACACACACACACACCACCTGCTCTTTAACTATAGTTTAGCTTTTTCACTTGAACTTTACCTAAGGTTATTCACTGTAATTGGCCAATATCACCCACTAGTGGAGAAATCATGGTATCGCAGTTTTTACGCGCAATTCTATCATTAACCACACGGTGGCAATGTTTAACCAAATATGATTCGACGAAAAATTACGAAAGGTACCGGACAAACCCGAAGCGAACCCCGGAAGCTCTGTTGTTACTGGTGGCTTTCAGCCCGTTGTTCAAACGATGTGTCGCTTGCTGCAGATCCAGCTGCTTTGAGGGTTAAGAGTTCAGCTGAAACGCTACGCCAGAATGTATTGAGACAGAGTTCCCAGGAAAATACATGACGAATATTAAGGTTTGTAATTTAGCTGTCACTCCAAAGGTTTTGTTTTCTCACTCGTCATTCGTATAGAGTGTTAGCATGCTAGCGGCGTTAGCTTATTTTAGTGGCTTGTTAGCAAGCGAGATTTACCAGCCATCCCGGTTGCATGTGAACTGTCAGGCTAGCGGTGCGTGCTGGCGTACGTGCGCGTGTGTCTGTCTGTGTGCGTGTGTCGAAGTGTTGAGTTTCTATCACGACCTCTGCAGGTATTGTAGATCTGAAGATCGACCCCAGTTGATGCTTTTAGCTGGCAGACAGATAGTCCGTGATACCTATACTAGTACGACGAGTTCCACTGATGGCGGAAGATCAATGAGAAAGTGGTTTGTGGTCTGATCAGTCATACCTCTAAACAATCTTTTTGAGTGACGAGACGCCTAAAGACCCCTGATAATAATAATAATAATAATAATAATAATAATAATAATAATAATAATAATGTATCTGGTCAAACTAGTTTAAAACCAGTAAAAAGTCATTTACATTTCAGTTTAGTTTCTTAAAGAGTAGTTCAAAGTGGTTTGTAAAGGTTTACATGGTTAGTTTTTTGTATCAACGTTGAGGAACTGGTCGTGTTTTTCCCCCCGTGTCTATTAATTTGTGTATTTGATTAGTATTACTATAGTTTGACCACATTGAGCTGATCCAAAGAAGGACTGATTGACCAACTCGGGGAAAAAAAATGTTACTGTTTATATTTGCAGTGTCACCTCATCACCATGACTTGCCTTAATTATGGGTGTGCCACCTGGAAGTAAAAAAACAGTTGTAAATATATATGGCACATACTCTCATTCTGCTATAAGGAAATTAAGCGATGTATAAACTGATCGACAGAAATGGTTTCTTCAATCTGTAATTATGGCCGGTCACAATAAATAAATAAATAAATAAAAATAATAACTTCAGTTCATTACACTCTGTGGAAACTGAACAAATATTTGTGTGCCTTTTGTCTTTTTCAGCCAGCAGTCCACATGTGTATTTCATCCTGAATGCTGGCCCAGGAGGTGCACACCACAGCATGCTGTTGTGAAGCTGGAACATATTAGGTATGTAACAAGAGCAAACAGAGGAAGGACCTTGTGCCACCAGTTTGTCGCTTATGCAAAACCTGGAGAAGTTGCATTCCACTTCTTGGTTTTGGCTGATGAAAAGCGACATTCAGATCAGCAGAGAATATTTGCTTGATTCACTTGCAAACTGGTTTAATTTATGGTATTTTCAATCGTTAATAGCGAATCTGACCTGCAATATTGATGGTGTATGTAAAATGTGACAGTGAGTTGTAATATAACTAAGTAAATCTTCTTATATATATCTTCTTATATATATATATATATATATATATATATATATATATATATATATATATATGTATATGTATATGTAATTTCCTTTCTTGCTTAGCGTGTTGGGGATATAACAAACCTCAGATTTTATTAGAGGGGATGAGTAACAAAAAAGAAATGGAAAGAGCAGGGGGAAATCTTTGGATCATGAACAAAAATTAAACTCAATAATTCAATCAGATAATGTCTGATTTTAACAGGATTAACTTTTTTAAATGGGCATTAACTGCTGCACGTGGATATCATGGTAGAGGAAGATGGAACCACGAGATGATATTGTCGACGTTTGCATCGTGATCTTGGTTTCTGTTTTGGTGGAACTGCTACATCCCTGTTGGCATGCGATGACTCAAGACTAGTGTGAGTCCCATAAAGTGATCTGAGCAGAATAGCGTTTGGGTGCTGTTTCTGGTTACAAAGATAGGAAAAGGAGGAGAGAGGACAGTTGGTGGCTGTTGTGTTGTGCCCTCTGACTGGGAAGGGCAGACAGCTGGACAAGCAGCAGCTGCTGCGGCTTAAATGGACCTCCTCTTTATTGACAATGGAAAAATCAATACTCCTTAAACTAGCAAGAGCATTTTTTGTCCTCTTTAGGATGGTGATTTTCCTTTTTGTTTGTTTTTATTTAGTTTAACAGTCTACTGGCAATGCTGTCTGTCTTCACCTGGCCTGTGGTCCTAATGGCATCAGCTTTGTGGATATTAAACTTCAGCATGACTTCTTAACATACAAATGCAATGTTGCCAGTGGTATTGGGAATATGCAATGAGTGAGTGAGTTATTCTTTTAGCAAGTGTAGCTGACTGCTGGTGATTGAGCAGCTTTTCCTCAGTATATTCATCAACTGGCACAAACTGTTTCTCCTGTCATTGTAATTAATTGAAGTGAAGCATGTATATGAGCTAGACAGTCGGTCACTATTAGTTTCTGGGCTGACTTTTTCAGTTCCTGTTATACCCATTATAACTGGGTGGGAAACATTAGCTCAGCTTTGCTATATGAAATATTGCAGTCTATCTATACGAAGGAAGTGCAAAATTCAGCGACACACACAGTCATCTCATAACTGAAGCTTTATTTGTGGTTTATTGTTTTTGTTCCGTGCATCACACTCGGGTCGCTTGATAACAAACTTCCTTTGTTTTAAGATAGTTTTTATATATAAACAAGGTTTAACAACGTGGAGAATTTTATTAACGTAAGACATCCTGTATTTTGTTATTTTGCACAATATAGAAAAAAATGCACTGCTGTAGTTTATTTGGAGGGTTACAATATGCACAAAGTAGTTTCATTAGATTAGACCAGAGATGCTAAACTCATGTTACATCACGGGCCACGTACAGCTCTCTTTGATCTTATAGTGGGCCGCACCAGTGAAACTCTCCTTTTTGTCAGTGTAAAGAATAGGGCTGCCACGATTAGTCGACTAGTCACGATTACGTCGATTATCAAAATCGTCGACAACAAATTTAATAGTCGACGCGTCGTTTAAAGCCTTGTAAGATCCTGAAAGACGCAGGAATAAGTAGTAGGATTTAAGAGTGTAATAACGGACTGAAACAGAAAATGACAGCACTGCATGTACGAGAATGCCAGCTGCCGTTAAACCTCCAAGAAGAAGAAGCAGTTTCCGATATCGTAGCCGTGTCCAAATTCAGGAACCGCATCCTCTTGTGCCTGCATTTTAAGGCTGATTACGTTACAGCGACACGACAAAGGCTTTTCAAATTCGAAGACTTCTGCAAATGCAGCCGACAAATGTGTTCTACTTTTCCCCAGATTTGAAGGATGGGTCGGGCATATGGCCCAACCTATCCCATAATTCATAGCACGGCTCAGCATATTCCTGTTTCCAACAATGGCGGCAGCTACTTAGTTTTAATATTACTCTTATTATTCTTTCTGGGTCACAAAATAAACTTTGAACATATTTTCAGGCGAGAATGGAGCTGTGTGAACTTCAATCATCTGTTCGGCTTATCAAGACACCACATATTTGTAAAAGCGCTCCGACATTTTCGGAGACATCTGTCACCCACCAGCTGGATAGCTAGCCGGGGGCAAGGCTCACTGGAGCCCGTGAGAACACCGGACTCCCGGCAAATCGTTTTCAAACCCCCCGCGGTCTTTCGCTACTCAGGTTAAACACGATATATAAGTCACATGTCCAATGGATGCATGATCTGATTAGTCGACTAATCGCAAAAATAATCAGTGACTAGTCGACTAGCAAAATAATCGTTTGTGGCATCCCTAGTAAAGAACTTTAAGTACACATTTAGTCCCTGATATATTTTAATGTGAAAAAGAAGATCTCAATATAAACCATACATACCAGTTTTTCCTCACAATGAAAAAATGCTGCTGTAGTAAATTAAATAAATCTATTTGGGATGATTAAATTGTAAGAAATAAGTGTGTAAAATGCCAAAAAAGTTCTGGTATCATATTGCCCAACCTACATTTTAATTATAACACGAGAGGATTTTGTTATTTGACAGAATGTCCTTTTTTATATAATCAGTTAATGAATTTTTTTTAAAATTCTGGAGCTACTGGAAAAAGAAACATACTTTTCTATAGTAGATGGCAAAAAACAAACTTTCTGTAATTTAATTTATTTATTTACTTTGATGTAGTATTAATGGTTATTAATGAGGTATTCAGGAGAAGAGCTACAAAAACTTATAAAATTACAGTTAAATGCCCCATATTTATGTCCTCCTTAATATTTTCCAAAGCTGCCAAGCTGGCCAGATTGGAGCCTTTGGCAGGCTGATTCTGGCCCTGGGCTTTATATTTGACACCCGTGGATTAGACACACAAGTTACGACACAATGTGTGTATAGGGACATGAGTGTGTTTTGAAATAATATATAAAACAGCACAGCACATTTACCTTTCTGAGTCCGTGTTCAAAGGTGTATATGTTCTTCTGTTGTGCCTGACACTTCTGATTAAAAAAAGGAAAAAGCTATTGTTCTTGAATGAAAGGAACATCAATTAACAAGAGTGGTTAAAAGTGGCAATTTTACCACTTCTGTGCTTGCACACTGAAAATTAGGATTTCTTTTCACAATTTGAACTTCAAAAACATCACTCCATCACAAACAGTGTGTCTCTGACAGGGCATGATAATCAGACAGGTATGTCGTTAAAGGTAACCTTTAAAAAAATACAAACTTATGGTAAACATTTGTTTTGTGCACTATATCTGTAGCTAAGATATGTTAAAGCAGAGACAGTTTGACCACTCTTACTATCTGAACCAGTTGTTTGCACAAGTTACATATTGCTAGCTTGCGTGACGTAATATTTTATCCATGTAGGATGTGTTTGGAAGAATTTGTGTGTTCTAGCACTTACTCTTGTGTAACAATATAGATAACTTCCCATATTATCAAAAGGGACAATCCACACAGACTGTGAAACATGCACTACTAAAGTGTCACCTTGCAACACAGATTTTACAGAACACCTCTATTATTTTGAACCAGTTACCGTGAAATCACTTTGGGGCTTGAACTGAACTCCCAAAGAGAAAGAGGATGTCTGTTTTCTGGCAGCCAGAAAGGCAGTTTTCAACACTGCAGGGTAAAAACCTCATACTGCAACTTCAGTGAAAGTCACTGTCATGGAAAGGTGTTGAAGGTGCAAGCACAAGCAAATATCACCAGGGTATTCCAAAGACAGTCTGATTAGAAATTCTGCACAAGACTGACTGCTTAGCTTTGCACCACCCTATCTCCTGTCTCATTTTATTTAAATGCTTACCTAAAGGAAGCAGCTAAAGCACCTCTACTATTCACCTTAAGTCAATTCTGTAGCGTGGTAATGAGGAAATAGTGTAAGATTGGTGAGGGTGGCAAGACCTTGTGCAAGGTTGTTCTTCTGGCTGAGTCTTATCACTTTAAGGGCCTTGAATATTTGTGTTTGGTTAGCAGGGGCGCATGTATTCTGTTGTGAAAACTGGACATTGTTTAAATTTTTTTATTCCTCTTGTTCCTTTAAAATGGGATCCGTTCTTTTATTTTAAGAGTTAACTCTTTTCATTTGTATTTCTCTGCTCCTCTGTATATAGGCACGTGAAGCAGACACTCATGTGCACTAAGGATGCATCAATCCCACAGTTTCCCGTCTCCATTTGGCTTTGGGCGTATGCCAATACTGAGTATACTGATCAGATAATAATGTTAAATTAATAATTGTATTCCTTGGAGTCATTCTTTCAGCAATTTATTTGCACTAGTCTCATAACAGCTCGGTGTAAGAGTCATTAGGCTACTGCATATTGGTATAATTTTCCAGATGTGCAAGTTTCTCCTTTCCCTGTTGTTCTTCTGTCTTAATGCAAGCGCACCTCCTCACTCGTGTGTTATGTGTGGAGTTGAGGTGATGAGTGAAAGGTACAAATAGTTGACGACATCATATAACCTTGCCACAAGTGAGACAAAGTTTGCCCCAGTTCCCCCCAGATTTGCTGTCATAGGGTGCTAGACCCTGGATGGATGGAATTGTTTTTCTTCTTCTTCTTCTCCTTCTTCCCGTTTGAGTGTTTGGTGGTTCAAGTGTTCCAGCAATGGTAGAAACACTAGATTTGACCTTAAAGTAAGGCTGTGTGATATTTGTTTTCTCTCTTTTTTTAAATACTACAGAATCTAAAAAGCTTTGTTATATTATTTTGTTTTGTCTTTTTTTTTTTAACACAAAGCCTACAAGCCAAAGGGAAAATAGGCCCACAAATTATTATTAGCCTTTATTTCTCCTGAACATGTAGCTCAGCTGCGGGATCAGTTTCCTAAAGGTACCAGAATAGCCATTGATTTATCCTGAAGCTGTGGAGATAGTTTCCCCAGCTGGTCCTGAATGTTCGCTTGCGACCTTGAGGAGTACGCCAATGAATCATGCTGAAAGGCTCAACAGGCCCTGAGCTTTGAGGGGGTTGAGTCCAGGGTTGAGCAACATTGATCATATACATACTTTGCCCCATTTGTGTCAGCTGGCATCAGACGTTTGTCCAAAACTTTGAATGTATAAAGTTGCCATAAACTATTAAGAAATGATTTGATTATGTGATTTCAAATTATTTTGGAAAGCACTCTGATCACTAGTTATAATCACTGCTGTCCTAAGGTTTAGTTGTCATTTTACAGATAATCATGACCTAAGAATAAGTACCTTACATTCTTGTTTGATGCTATTTGTAGAACTCTTAATTAACACACATTCCTCATTCTTTTCCCCAAACATTTTACTATTTGTCTCTTTGATGTACTGATTCTAGTTTAAACCGTATTTATTGATTGACTGCTATTACTTTTACTGCTACTAAGTTTGAATGTCTTTCCTCTCTCTAGGGCAGAATGCAGTCTTCAAACCACAGATTACGAGATATGGAGCAGCACCATCCGCTGCTGTCAGCAGGTGCAGATGTCGAGACAGGTAGCCTTGCAGCCGGAGTGATGGTTGGAGGTCCACATGTGGGTCACACAGCAGGAAACCGCACTCTGTGGTTTATTCAGGACAGCTGTGGTATGGTGTGTGCAACCATGACCTGGTTCCTGGTTCTGTACGCTGAATTTGTTGTGAACTTCGTCATGCTTTTGCCTGCCAAGAACTTCTGGTACTCGCTGTTGAATGGTGCTACCTTCAACTCATTGGCTGTGCTTGCGTTGGCCTCGCACCTGCGCACCATGCTGACTGACCCGGTAAGTATGTTTATTACAGTAAGGGTGGAGAAGGCAAAGGTCACTGAAAGTGTGAGAGTTTCAGTCTGATGGCAGTTATTTGTTTTTGCAAACAAACAACATTTACAAATATTAAATAGAACCTGGCTTATTGTTGTAATTTTGCAAGCTAAATTTTTGGTGCTTTAGCTATCAAATCATCTTAATGAAATAAAGATGTGTGGCATGATGCTCAGACTTTGTATAGTAGTCTTACTGCAGTAGATGTTTTGACAGTGAAGCTTACACCAAAAATCACTGACAGTGATACTTGGAGTCACTCACTGATGTAATCTGGGACACTAAGCTTAGGGGTAGTGTGTGAGTGGATGCTGTGCACGAAAGCAGCACAGTGCAGCCTTCTGAACTGAATTTCTGTCAGCTTGTTACTCTAATCTGTTAAGAGCATTTGAGGTTTTCAAAAAAAATGTTCAACTTTTAATTTGGTTTGCTACTGACTTTGCTTCTAATACTTGGCGAATAGTTTAAATACAGTGAAGTCATGTGTCGGGGGGATTGCACGTCTAATACTGTTAGTGCTGCTGTTGAAATGTCAACTGATTCTAACTCAAAGAAACTAAAATGTCTGGTGACAGCCCCACTGGTGCCTCCAGCCCAGTGGCCCTTCCTGAACAAATGCTTAATTGAAATCCACCAAGTAAAACACAGAAGTGTACGCTGTAGTGGAGAAACTGGAGTTTCAGCTGTACTTTCAAGGTCTTAAGGTCATCTGTGTATTTGAGTTTAAGTGTGCGTTACACACTGGGTGTTTCAGTCGACATGCCAAAATGGTTTTGGGCAAGATACTGAACCCCGAGTTGGACCCAGTGCATTCATCAGAGTGTGAATATGTGTGTGAATGTTTGCGTGAGAGGGTGAGTCAGACATAGTGTATAGAAAAAGCTGTGAGTCCTCAAGTAGAATAGAAAAGTTGTGAATAAGAACCAATGCATCTGTTTGTGTCTCAGTTGGACTATTGCCATTTTGGGTTATTAAGATTAATTACTTGTATTACTTTGTACAAGTAGACATTTTGTTCCTTTTATTTATTTATTTTTTAAATTAAAGTATTTTTTCCCCTCTCACAGCCTAGAGACATTAGGAACAGTGGGTGAATTGCTGTATATGCTTGAATTCTCAATGACCCCAGCATAATGCATTTATGTGGATCTTTTTAATAAATAGCATGTTTCTTTTTCTGTCTGCCCTTTTCCTTAGGGCGCAGTTCCCAAGGGTAACGCAACAAAGGAATATATGGAGAGCTTGCAGTTGAAGCCTGGCGAGGTAATCTACAAGTGCCCAAAGTGCTGTAGCATCAAGCCTGAGAGGGCACACCACTGCAGGTCAGTCTAACACCATGCATACGCAGCAGGCAGAGCATGAGTAGCATGTAATGAGAACAGAAGCACATTCAGACTCTGTGACTTAGTAATACACAGGCTTGTTGTAGCAGGAAAAATGTTCCTTAAAAACATATTTTATGAAAGGACAAACAGAGTAGCTGATTACATTTGCATTAGCAGTCAGTTTGTCATGAATTAAACTCTCCTTTCTCCTGCCTGCAGTATTTGTAAACGATGCATCAGGAAGATGGATCATCACTGTCCCTGGGTCAATAACTGTGTGGGAGAAAAGAACCAGAGATTCTTTGTTCTTTTCACTGTAAGTACACAGTTGCAGTCGTGAGTTAATCTGTTTGTTAAAGTTACAAAGCAAGTAGAAATGCTCGTTTTACATATGAGAATACTGTTTTTAATCCTCTTAGAAAATTGCTTGTTTTCCACTCATTTTAAATTTAAATAAATACATAAATTATATTTTATTTGGTGCTACATGGGAGATATTGCAAAAGTCTTCCCACTTGCTTCATTTCCATGATCAAATAAGCAGCTCAGCTCAGTAGAGATGCACCGCACAGCAGGAACATGCCGACATTAAATGTGCTTTCATGGCCATCTGTGACTCTCTTGACAGCATCAGCACTTCTTTCTGGTTTCGTGTGCTGACTGGAACTTTTTTGAGGGCAGAAACATAAAGCTGTCATATATGGTTGAGTGGCACAAGGTCATAGTTAACTTTCCTTTCAGATTGCCATAAAGGAGAAGTTATCTGTGGAAACACAGGTTCATCATTTAACCCTTTAAAGAACAGCATATCGTATTTGATACATGTGTTTTTGTGAGTTTTTGAGACCTCTACATCATCAGCGTGACTTTTTTTTTAACCCTCAAAAAAGAATCTAAATTGCATGACATATTTTTAATGACTAAATTGCAAAAATATGGTTTATGTATTAAATGTAATATAAATGAAAACTTATAAATACATATATGCAGATTAAAATTTCAAATATTTGTATTAGTGCTGTCAAAATTAACGCGTTAACACACATTAATCCGCCATCACGGTCAACGCGGTTAAAATTTTTAATGCAATTAACACATGTGGTAGAACCTGTGTTAAAAGATTGAAGAAAACTATTCAAATTCTCTTTGAATTTAAGTATAAATTATTTGTTTATTCTGCATTTACTTCATTATATTGGATAAATGTCTGTTACAAGCTTAAATATAAAGTTGAAAAAATCAAGTAATCAGGATCAAGTAAATGCGATTAATCGCGATTAATTACAGACAATTTTGAGATTTGTTATTTTTTTAATGTATTAACACCACTAATTTGTATATATTTTGTCTAAATTGTTAATGGCCTGCATTTGTATAGCGCTTTACTTAGTCCCTAAGGACTCCAAAGCGCTTTACACTACATTCAGTCATTCACCCATTCACACACACTGGTGATGGCAAGCTACATTGTAGCCACAGCTGCCCTGGGGCGCACTGACAGAGGCGAGGCTGCCGGACACTGGCGCCACCAGGCCCTCTGACCACCACCAGTAGGCAAAAATGGGGTTAGTATCTTGCCCAAGGATATTTGGCATGCAGCGAGGAGGTATCCTGGGATCGAACCACCGACCTTCTGATTAGTGGCTGACCTGCTCAGGTGGCAGAGCAGGTCAGGTGGCAAGGTTCCACAAACACTCCATTATCAAAAAATTAAAGATTTCTGGCAGTTCTTTCATGGTTCAGGTTTTAAAGGGTTAAAATAGAAAGTTGTTTTTGTTTTTAAGTCTAAATACTTAAACTTGTGAATAGAGTAGGGTGATATGACCAAAAATATTTATCACGATATACATTTGAAAATTTGCGATAATGATATAACTGACGATATAATTGACACTAGACAAAATACTTTACAACTGCACAACTTTATTAATGTAAAAAAAAAACATCAATGTATTTTCACTTAAACAAGCAGCTGTTTTTTATGTGCATTAAAGTTATATAAAAATTTAACAGTGCAAATGCAAATTCCTTGCTGACAGTTTAACCAAAAGGCATTTCTAGTGGAAACTGGCCAACATATCCTCAGCATAACCATGTATAATATCCACAAAACTTAAAAAGAGGTTATACACACACAATACGGTAATATTATGTTGAAGCACAGTACGTATCACTCTGCGAGGCTCCTGCCTACGATGGCTGTAATGCTCCGACAATCCATCAAGCGGTGCGGCTTCGTAGCTTAGCAAAGTCGTATTAAAACATTTGACAGATCTTCGAGCGCCGTGTACCACATAAAATCGTTTCGAGGTCAATAAACACAACCAGAATTCATACATAAGGCGCACGGGATTATAAGGGGCACAGTCGATTTTCAGAAAAATCAAAGGATTGATTTTAAATGTGCCGTATTTGCCAAAAAACACGGTAATAACGACGGCTCGCTAGCATGCGCTACCAAAAATTGTGCTTTGTTGTGTATCTGACGGACGAAAGCCAAACCAGTTCCACACCACTGAAGTCGCAGCATTTTTACAAACCAGTTCTGGTTCATCCGTTTCATTCATCGATCCGTTTTCGCTCTTCTCATTCTCCGTCGCCGCCATGCTTTTTCCGCCATGTGCGTATGAAAACAAAGACACTGCGCATGCGCGTTTTACCCATATTCTATCGCGATATTTCATTTTCTTATCGTTGCCCAACATTATACCGGTATCACCTTGAACGGTATGATCTGGCCCAGCTCTACTTGTGAATGTGAAATTTATAGTTTAAGGCTACATTACTCCAGTGAATGTCAGTAAACTTTTGGGTTGTGAGTGGTTTTGCTTACCTTCTTTGTTTTGTATATGTGACTTTTTTTGTTCTCTTCATCTCTCCATAGATGTACATAGCCTTGATTTCTGCCTATGCCCTCGGCCTCAGTGGCATGCACTTCTTCACATGTATTAAACTTCAGTGGAACGGTAAGGCTTCTCTAACGTAACTTTCAAAAACATGAACACATGATGTCAAAGACATGCAGTTTAAGGCAGAAATACAACTATTAGTACAAGTGGTTGAAACTCCTTAGAGACATGAAGAAAAGAAGCAGAGTACGGAAATGAAAGAGATTTTTATCCTGTTGTCAGAACAGCTGCTCTGCACAAGTCATTGAAGTTGTGCGGCAAAGCCATCATTGAGCTGTCATCCATCACTTCCCGCTCCCTTGTGGGTCTGTCTGTAAGAGTGAACCAGAAAATGAAGATAATATTTCATTCTTCAAATTCTAGCTTCTCGTCGTCTCTACAGGATAATACTCTGACCTCCCAAAAAAATACAGTCTGCCGTAGCAATTGTATTGTAGCAAAGGGACTATTTTAATGGTCTGCACTAGATTTTATCCAGTCACCTATGTGACTTTTAAACACCCAAAGGGAAGACATTTACCCTTTTAGAATCTGTCCTATTTTAAATGTATTGTTATTTGATTGGCATTTTATATTCTGTTTTACTCAGTTGTTCAGCGCACTCTGAAACCTCTAACTTTGTTCCTCTAACCAGAGTGCAGTGAGTTCTCTCCGGGGGTGTCTGTGCTGCTGCTTATCTTCCTGTGTCTCGAAGCCATCCTCTTCCTCACTTTCACAGCTGTAATGTTTGGTACGCAGATCCACTCCATCTGCAATGACGAGACGGTCAGTATCTACTGCGCCATGCAAGCTTTGTTCCTTTCAGCAGTGGAGGGATTAAATGTTCATGAATCGAAGAAAGAAGTCATAGACTAATTTTATCAAGTTGTTACGGTGTCATATTCCTGCCTCAGCAATGTCATCTCATTGGTAATCATGATCATTCGTTAATTTTAATCTGTAAAAGTCACAGGAAATTCACCTAAAAGTTGTGTACCGAGATAGCAGTGATATATTATTTATAAAATAATCAACTGAGACATTGTTCAGGCGTACATTAAATTTCTTTAGCTATAGTAGTATAATTAATATGCAATGACTTTTGTTCTAGTTCTCTGCATAAATGTTTGTGTTAGCATGCTAATGAGAAAGGAAATGGACAACTTATTGAGGATCTTTCCTTTCTGGTGGGTTCAAATGTGTTGCAGGAAATTGAACGTCTTAAAAACGAGAAACCCACTTGGGAGCGTCGCATGAGATGGGATGGCATGAAAGCTGTATTTGGGGGTTCGCCATCTTTGCTGTGGTGCAATCCGTTCACAGGCCTGCGTCTGCGGCGCCTAATGCTGTTGACCCACGGTCGCCGTGGTGGGTCTGAGTTTTCTGTCTGAGAAGACTGCAGACTGATGCAACTCACCAACACCTCACCGTGTCTGGTGTGGTGGAAAAAAAGGATTTCTTCTATGCCCTCTTCGACTGGAGCGACCATGAACCTCCGGCGGCGTCTTTCCTGAGTAGGTGACAAAACATTCTGCAGTAATGGGACCCAAGTGTATCACAATCACTACTGAGAGTCTGTGTTGTCTATCACATGCTGATGTGGATCCAACACATGTGATATTGCTTTGCACAAATCAGATGAACAACTGGATTTTTTTTTTTGCAGGGTGGGCAAAATGAGGAGCTATGTGGTTTGTGTTGTTTGGTAACGCATGCAGTACGTAACTCAAGTGAGTCTTTTTATTCCCCACCATCCAAGATGCTGTTTGAACTCAACTAATGCACCTTGGGACACAACTTGAGTATGTTTTGTTTGCTGTGCACATGAGATTGGAGAAAAGTCTTTGAATGTTTTTTTTTTTTTGAGGGATGGATCAACAACATCTTTCATCATCACTGGAGCTACACAAGTGGGTCGAAATGGAAAGTGCTTGAATTATTTTTCTTTTGGCCCAGACAAGAGAACCACTGACAGGGGATTCACAGTCAAGGACATGCACTACTTACATGACACTTGAGGAAAAAGCTTGGTTATGGAGCACAGTGGTCATTAGAGTTTGAACTGTGCTGCATGTATAAGGCTTCATTCAGCATCTTAGTCTGGAAATGAGGCTTTAATCATCTTAACAAGCTACCATGAACACAATGCTCATTCTTATCTAGGAGATGGCTTTTTCTATCTCTTCATCTCTGTTGTTTTTTGGGGTTTTTTTGTTTTGGGTCCTCGGGATAAAGTTGTTTAGGTTACTCGAGCTAAAAGAAATTTATTGGTGAAGCTTTATCACCATGTGCACACCTCAGCAGATGACCATGACTCACAGGAGACGACTACTGCTAGTCTTCATTTGGACAAAACATTTTGTAATAATTGTGTATGTGTATCCATTTCCATCACTCCTACATGCTGATCAACATCTCCTTATCTCTGCAATCAGTTAAACAACAGGACAACTGATGGCTGTGCTTTCATGATGAAGTGAATTAGGCCGAAGACTAAATGTTACTAAGTTTGCGTTGTTTAATACTTTCATGTTTTGTTTTGTTTTTAACCTCTGTGTGGGAAATCAGAGGGAACTTCTGTGTAGTAGGAATTTTACTATATACAAAAGTTATCGGAAAAGTCTTCACAGCATTTTAAACCCTAAAAAAACAACGTTATAAGCCCTCAAGACAGAGCCGAGTCTCAGACATGGTCACTTTACATGCTCCTTGGCCACCGTGTGTAACAATGAGTTGAAAAGGAAGGTTTGAAACGTTAGCACAACCTCCTTTGGGTCATTGTTTTCACATTCTGATCGACTGTGCAAAGCTCCATTGCGAAGTCAGCTTGTAGATTTAAAAAGAGTGCTTTGCTGAAAAAGACTGAGGTACCAGGCTCACTATACGAGCTTTAATACGGTCTCGGGGAGCTCAGCAGAGGCTTGTGAGGCCTTTTTTCCTATTACTGCAAAAGTTTCAGGCATGTACCATCTAGTGGCAGGACAGCAGCAGACACTTTCCCAGTGTTATTAGAACACTTTGCCATGCCTTTGAAACATCAAATCAATTGAATTTTTGAGATTGAAAGATATTGTGATTTTTGAAAATGTCAATTTTGTGGCTGCCACTCTCCTAACTTCACTCTGCCTAACTAACGAGTTTGTTGGCACCGGATGAATGTGGCTTTTCGAATCTGCAGTTTACAGTCAAGTCCAGATGCACAGGCTGGTATTATCAAAGTATTGTCAAGTCTAGACTCTTAAAGTCTAATTTATTTGCTTGCTGAACAATATTACTGCTGTTTGTTTTCATCTGTGGTCGTTAAGAAAAGGAACTGTGCCCACTGTTTACAATAAATAATATCTGATGCTCTATGGCTGTAATGTTTTGAAAAACATGCTGTCATTAGAATGGTATTTGACAGCACTGTCATCAGAAGGGTCACAGCACTGAAAGCTAATTAATATCAGGGGATTATTTTAATGCTGGCCTCATTTCTCATTTGTATTCTGCTGGATTTCATATATTTCCTATTTAAACATTGCTTTACTTTCACTATATATAGATCATAGAACATTCAACAAGTCCCTAACATGCTAAAAACTGAAAACTGTTAAAAGTTAAGCTTCATAGAAAGTAGAAAATGAAAATTTTTATAACTGAAAGAAGTTTAAAATTTGCCAGAAAATAATACTAAAATTCCCATAGTTTAGTCTTGCACGCATATATGTTGCTAATCATGCAGCAGCTGAATAAATGTGTTGCAGGAAATGTTGACGAGTCCAATAAACTATTATGTCATTAGATAAAAGGCAAATATCAAAAGAAATAACAGTTCTAATGCAGTGCTGAACTGTAAGTTGTAGTTGTTGTGGGTACAAAAACAAAAGTAATTGCAGATATTGCTGTGTCAAAGCATTTGAATTTGATTGGTATCATTTGGGCAAGATTGATATGGTCAAGTATTTGACAATAGGATGTCCTGCTCCATGACCGAACTCTTAAACTGTCTCATGTCTTTTTCATATTTGGTAACAGACTCGATGAATGCTGAAGGACTACACTGATAATCTCTGCTTTCTGCTGTATGACTTTAAAAAGCTACAATCACCACAGGAAGATGAATGTTGAACAACATAAACCAATACAACACTATTCTGTCAATGCTTTTTTTTTTTCTCCTCACAGTAGTTGGCAGTTGAAGCAGAGTCCTGCAGAATATAAAGGATAGAGAGAATTTTGTGTTGTGTCGTAATGGTTCTTAACAGGATGGGTGTTTGATCACAGATTTACCGTTAATATCACCATGAACAGTTGTGAAAGTTTTGTGTCCTACACTCCTGAGAGAATGTTTCTTCAAGAACAAAAGTCCTTCAGCTTTACAAGCAAAGTATAAAGGTTACTATTAACAATATATAAATGGAATGTTTTATTCAAGTTTTTTTAATGGTGTCATAATCTTATGATGTCTTATATTGTTAATGTCATACTTTTACATAATAAACTTGATTAATTTAAAGCTATACACTCGGATTAATTGCCTGTCATACTCATGCTCACGTGCTCCTGATTTGCTTAAAGCAGTTCAGCAAGTGTGAGGTTGGGCAGAATTTGGAGTGGATTTTGATTTTCATCATACATTATGGAGTATATGTATATTAAGTCATTTGTGATGCAGATGCAGTGTGCAAATCATCTTTCAGTTGCTTCCTTTAGGGGTTGCTCCGTCTCACCCTACCCCTCGTTTCCTCCTCTGTCACACGAACCCTCTGCATGGCCTTCATTATTACCTCCTTGAACCTTCTATGTGGTCTTCCTCGTTTCTTCCTGTCTGGCAGCTCTGGATTCAGCATCTTTTGTCCAATATATTCCACAATCCCTCCACTGTGCATGTCCAGAACATCTCAGACGTGCTTCTCTAACTTTGTCTCCTTCATGCTCAGCCTGAGCCATCCCTCTGATATATTAATTTCTTTTCCTGTGCATGCCAGTTACGATCAACAAAAACCTTAAAATCTCTAACTCTGCCACCTCCTGTCTTGTTGTTAGTGCCACCATCTCCAAACCATACACCATAGCTTCTAAAACCTTCCCTTTCGCTCTTCCTCCTTTCCTTCTGTCAGAAATAAATACTGCCACTTATTTCCATCCATCTGGTACTGCCTACACTGTACAAAAAGGTTGACCCCACGCACCATCACTAACTCTAGATCTACTAAGCAAATCAGCAGCAAAAAAATACACACTGTAATTACATAATTAAGCATTTAAAGTCTTCAAAGTTCAGTTGAGCTTCATTCAGAATCCCTCCCCAGAAACAGACATGCACAAAAATGTAAATGAGAGCAAATATTTCAATAGGGGAACACCAAACTTTTAGTATTGTTGTAATGCAAGTATTACAGCAACGTACAGGTGTGCTGAGTTGGCAGCGATGGAGCAAAATGCTTGCAAGGTACAAGTAATGCAGTAAAAAACATTTGAAAAGAACAGCGCTGCTTCTTCCAGTCCGCTGGGTGGCAGCATAGTGCTATCCTGCTAGTGCAACGTCGGCTCAGAGAAGAAGCGTTTCTGTTTTGTAAGCTGAATTTTGACTTTCAGGCAGAACTCTTTTTAAAGTCTTAATTAAATTTTGTATTTTTGATATTGGACTGGCAGTCATGGTTGTAGTTTCACCGATTTTTAAACGTTATTTGGGGATATTTATTGTCTTGGATGAGTTTCTCTTGTGGTTTTATACAACTGGAATGACTTAAGTGCTGCCTGAAAAACTAAATTCGGAGAATAAAATGCCCCGGTTTGCCTTTCGGCCAGCCTTCAAATTTTCCCCGCCTTCATCCTAAATGCTTTCCTGCTTTACAGTCTAACTTGACGTGAATATGGCGGCAAAGGAGACTGTAAACAGTTATCAAGTGAGCGTTGAATCTGTTGTGAACGGCTGGCTAGTGGATTATTACTTCTTTTTGGCGGTAGAGTTCTTTAAAAATGAACAATACGAGGATTTCGGTGCCATTATAGATATACTCGACTGTAAGTATAAACAGTGTTTTTGATTAGTTTGGCTAGCTCGTAACCAGCTATAGTACTACCAGAACTGCCTAACTTCGTACCAAACTTAATACAAGTTAGCGGACTTAAATATTAGTGCTCCTTTATAAGTTGTCTTCTATCTTGGTTACGATAATACATGCTCTTAAACTTTCCAGGCGTCAGCTGACAGAAAATAAATGAATAAACGGGGGAAATTTCATGAATCGTGTTGTTGTGAGACTAAGCGGACTCATCGTCTTGTTATGTCGAGCGAGGCTGCTCTTATTTATTTGTTTTGATCTTTTATATACACAAGGAACAATTTCAGTTCTGTTTACATGTATGTACGTTCACGTAGTGGTTTTTCAACATACTAAAATGTGTCTTTTAAGAAAAAAATCAAGGTGATTTTAATGACATATTTATAGTTTTATTACCATACAAAAGACTTTTTCTTAAATACAACCTCCATACGCCTTATTTTTGGTTTGTTTTTTTTAAATTATTTATTTATTTATTGAACTTGTTTCTAGGGCATAGACTTCTCTCCAGGTGACATGATAATGGAGTATCAACAGGACTGTCATAATGCCAAGTGTTTATGTAGCTGTACTTCTAATGCTGACAAACATGATACTGACATTACCTGAAAATGTTATTTGTAGCCAGTCAGTAAAATCGGTTATGTATTCCTTCAATTTGAGACACCTCAGTAGACGTTAAAAAAGTGGGCATATAGCCAGCTATTATTGCCAGTTACTTAGGCTATTTTGTGTTATTAATTTCTGTGTGTTTGGGGGAAATAAGAAGCTTCTTTATTGTTTTATTGCAGGTATTATGGCGCGCCCTTTGGAGTCCACGGATGACATCGCAATGAAATTTCGAGTGTTGCAGTTTATCTCCCGGATAAATGAGGGTGAAAACCTTGGTGAGTTCAACATTAATCGACAAGATCGGCACATCTGAGTATTACTGTGGTTCTTTAAGCGACATCAGTGTACAGCTCTGTGCATCAAAATAAATCATTTGCAAAAATGTAATAACTTACCTGTCAAATGATTAAAAAAGGGTATGTAACTAATCTGCAATACATTGTACCACAGTTATGCCACAGTTAGACACATTTAGAGGCCAATATAAATAATAAAAGCTTGTGATTAGAGTCTGACTACACACTCACTGGCTACTTAATTAGTTACACCTTGCCTATACTGGGATTGATCACCTTTTGCTTTCAGAGCTGCCTCAGTTATTTGTGTCACATAATTTTCCTTCCTTGGTCCATATTGACATGATATCCATTGATGTCTATTTAAATACCAGTACACATTTTTATGTAATATTCTGATATCACAAAAGTATCATATCACAATGTCACTGTTGTAGCAACGCCATGCCTTGATGTTCCCTAGTGTGGACAACAACGAGAAAAGCCGAGGCATGTCTCAGAGCAGGAACCACCTGTCAGCTTCCAATGATTTAGTGAAGCAGCTCCCTTTTTAGATCCCAACTTCCAACAAAGGAAAAGTAGTTTGTAAAACACCAAGGTGGAAATGTCAAACTTATTTCACTACTTGAGGTGGTGCTAGTTTCAGTCGTCATTATGCAAATGTACTGTTTATAAGATTGGGGAAACCTGCAGTCAGCTGAGACTGAAGGAGTCACTTGGATGACTGACAAAACGTTTCTCCCACTGAAAACGCTGCGTCCAGATGAACAGAATCAACTAACAACAGAATTGGGGACTAACATGCTAAAGTCACAGCGGAGATCAAGACTCACCAGACCAGGCAGAATTTTCCATTTTGAGTGAATGAGTCAACTCAAAATAGTCTCACTATTCTCCCCTGACTTCTCCCATCAATATGACAATTTTTATTCAGCGAACTGCTGCTCACTGGATGTTTTCTCTTTATCTGACCATTCTCTGTAAACCCTAGAGATGATTGTTAGAGAAAATCCCAGTACATCTTAAATGCACAGACCAGCCTGTCTGGCACCACAAACATGCCATGTTTAAAGTCGCTGAAATTCTTATTCTGATGCTCGGTTTGAATTCCACAAGTAGTCTTTACCATATCCAAATCCCTAAATGCGCTACAGCTGCTGGGGTGGGATTTTAGAAATTTCTATTAAGAAGCTTTTGAAACTTATTGGTATTATTGTACCTAATAGTCCAGTGATGTCCAGTGAGTGTATACATGGTATATAAAGGACATCTGGTGACATATCAATACTAGGACTGCTTCTGTAGCGCTCAGTTGTCACGGCGTCACTCACGTTTGCAACTAAAAACAGACAACGTAGCAGAAACATATCTAAGAGCAGGGGTGTGTTAAAAACATTACGCTCAAGCTGCTCCGGTTTTTAAACAAAAAAAAATCGTTTCTAAAAGAGAATTCAATGAGCAGTTTATTTTAAAAGACCTGTTTTTTTCTCATTTTAATATTTAATATTTTAAAAATTGCTTATTAAAGAGACAAATGTAATTTTCCATTATTACTCAATTGATAGAATACTTGATTATCAAGAATACTTGATAACAAAACTAAGTTTGATTTCTGTCATAATCAATAGCCTGATTCACAGCTTTCTCTAAATTCATATTTGAGGTTGACATCTCGTCATACTGCGAATATTGTGAATAAACACAACAGTGAATATTGGTTTGTCTTTGCCTACAGGTGTTTCATTTGAAATGGATGTGTCATCAACTCCTCTGGAATCAGCCTTAATGTTACTGGAAAAAATAAGCCAGGAATTCAGTATCCCACAGCAGGAGTATGAAAAGGTGTCCTCTTCTCTTAAAGATATGGTAAGCATTTCTCTTGAGCTGAATTCCTTTATTGTACTTCCATTCAAAGTAGAGCTGGGCGATATGAGATTTTTTCATATCACGATATGTTTTTTTCATTTCAGGCGATAACGATATCTATCACGATATAAGCCAAATAACTATATTTGTAAGATTTAAATGTGCCGTTGCTCACAAGTAAAATGTAAAATAATCAGCAGCTTGTTTTTATTTAAATATTTATTTCCCATAATAAGTTCAACAGGGTAGATGTACTTAAGGAACATGAGACTTTTTCAGATAAATAAAGGCAAATATTGCAAACTACACAAAAGGCAGCCGCTAAAGCATTTAAGTTTCAAAATAGAACAAACAAAACAGACTAAATTGTCAATTCCACTTAGAAACAAAATATTAATTCTAAAAATAAATCTTAGTTTGTTTTACAGAAGATCAGACAAAACTGACTAACTTTTGTCAAAATCAAATAAACTGAGAACTAAAAGGAAATTCTCAATCTCTCCTTGTTGTATAGCTGAGCTTTTCAAACAGTTTTAACAGTTACTTTAGTCTGACAAAAGCCGAATGACGAATTAGCGCTTCCAGTCAGAGACTGAGGCTACGTCCACGGGTACACGGGTATTTTTGAAAACGGAGATTTTCCGTTTTCGTTTTAAAAAATAATCCCGTCCACACATAAAGGCAGAAATGAAGGAAAACGCTGCTATGAACATGCCAAAGCAGCAGGTGGAGCTAGATTCCTAACCGTGCCGAAATGTTGGCCAATCAGAAGTCTAGAAGCCTCGGTGGGAAAAAGTAAACAAAGCTGGGGCATAGAAGCAGAACCGAGTCGTATGTGTGGAGGGACAGTAACTGTGTGTATATGTGTAAGCATTTAAACACTGCAGAGAGTAGAATTAACAGTATTGTAGAAATTCATTTCACCGAAACAATAACGTGGCGCACAGTGTGACGCATGCACCAGTTTATTGTATTTCCAGACTTGCTTTCGGCACAATTTACAGTGCACGCTACTGTTTTTTGTCAGACTTGAAATAGCCGAAATACCTTCACACTACGGAACTTCTATGGCTCTTCCGTTCGACAATCTCTCCGGCATTGGAACCATCATCTGTTTTCTCTTCGGTCACGCTCGGTTGATTTTTCTAGTCGGCACACTCATTTCCTCCATTACCCGCTGGCTGCTTCCCAAACAAACACACGTGCGGCTTGGCACTTGTGCTGTACGTAACAAGTCACGCGGACGTGACGCTGCGGCTGTGATTGGTTCGGCTCTGCGCCACTTAATTTGGATTGGCTGACCTTTTTTTTTTTTTTTTTTTTTGAGGACAAGAGCGGCGAAGTCTATCGCGATAGCTTAATTTCTCTATCGAGTAAAAGTTATATCGCGATACATATCGTTATCGTTCTATCGCCCAGCTCTAATTCAAAGACAACTTCTCCCTAAATTAAGTGGGTTGTTTTTGTTTTTACATTTTAAATATCTGCACTTGTTCAGCTTTTACATTCTTACATACGTCTACAAAGGCAATCAAAACAGTGGTTTCTAATTATATTCTGTTTAGCAAATAATATATTTCTGTCTTTAGATTGTGGGGATTTTCATCAAAAACAGTAAGTTTGAGAAAGCAGAAGAGGTGCTGATGAAACACTTTCCTCCCAAAAATATTGGAAAGGTGAGGTTACTCGCTAAACCTTTTTTTCACTACACGATAATAACATTTACATTAAAGTCAGTGTGTAACTTTATCCCTACTGATAAGTTATTTTGTAAAGTCTTGTTTAAAAATTGATAAGCATTGTCATATCGATGTTGATATGCTGTGTAATACAAAATAACCAGGATGGGAAGCTTTTGCTAATCGTTTTATAGCTTTTAAGTGTAGACAAAGACACAACAGTTAATTTCATTTCAGATCTACTAGGCTTTGCAAGCTTAGGCCATAAAAATACTGGATAATGGACAGTCTGCTTTCCCATCTTGCATCTCCTCATCAGCCACAGTCATCAGTGTGCTGATATGATGATAGCGCTGGTGCAGGAAGACATTATGTGGAAAAGACAAATTAAAACAATTGGTTTAGCTTGCATGCCTTATAAGTGTCCCTTTTATTATCTGGATGGGGTTGACTGATCACTGAATGATCTTTGGATGGTGGAGCCTCATTTCACTGTAGAATCCTCCCCAACTTTTTCTGCATTTGTTTTTTAGCTCCAGCTCCCTCCAGTGGCCAACCTCCCCCTTTACAACAAAACCATCAAATAACTGCATTAGCTAGTTTTCATTTTCTGTCACATGAATGTTAAACAATGTTGGGTCTGATTTTATTACATCCCTAAAACAATTTAAAAATTAAAATGGTGCATGCTAAGATATTCAAACACATTATATTTTTAATGTCACGTTTCTCACATTTTCTGTAGAGAGCAACATTCATGGGTCTCATCAGGAAAAAGAATAAGATTCATGAAGTCATTGAGCAAATCAACTTTCAGCACTTCAAGGAGGAGATGCTTGCGTTTTGCCTGAGGATCTGCCACTTCAGCCTTCCTCTTCTTCATAAGGTATACATGCTCTGTATTAAATATGTTTTGTTTTTTTTAGTTAATTATAGAAACTAATCAATAGAATAACTTTAAGCAATGTGAAGTCCTTTTAAACATTTGGGGTCAAGATTGGCCCATCTTTGCATTTAGACATTTCAGCACTTGTTGGGAAAATGGAATGTACACTGCCCGGTGCATCTGCAAAGAAATTGCTGTTACATGAGGTTGACAGCATTAAACTGCAGTCCAGCATTAAACTGTACCCTCTAAACCAGGGGTGGGCAACTCCAGGCCTCGAGGGCTGGTGTCCCTGCAGGTTTTATATGTGTCCTTGAACCAACACAGCTGATTTAAATGGCTAAATTACCTCCTCAACATGTCCTGAAGTTCTCCAGAGGCCTGGTAACGAACTAATCATGTGATTCAGGTGTGTTGACCCAGAGATCTAAAGATCTAAAACCTGCAGGACACCGGGGCCTGGAATTGCCCACCCCTGCTCTAAACCAAGTCTCCAGGGTTTTGGAGATATTTTTTTTTGTTGGTGTTTTTTAAAGCCTGCGCATCTTGTAAAATTATCAGGATTTCTATATGTTTCTTTATTACCGGTATGTCTATTCTTCATGTACATCCCTGCTGTAATTTCCTGCTTAAGGATTAAGGATTTCATAGATCCAGCTCTTTCAGCTCAGATATAATATATGCTGACACCTTGATTTGTAGTATCTTCCAATACTAGTATTAATCAATAATAAGTTCTTCTTTGTGAGGAAGAGACCAGGATGTTTAAGGCTGCAAATATCAGATTGCTTTCTTGAGCAGTCCTAATAGCTCAGTGTGTTTAGTAAATGCATGAAAGGTTCAACTTGCTGTATATTATGAATTTAAGTGCATTGTCTTTTGACTAGAATTGAGATTCAAATGAAGAACAAACCATGTTTCATATGTAATCAATTCAGAAATCCTGTTCATGGAAGTTTCTTTGTTGTGAATGTATGTGTGTGTGTGTGTGTGTGTGTGTGTGTGTTTGGTTTATGCATCCCAGGCTGCAAAACGTATCATTGAAAGAACCCCTGTGGATCAAGACAGCACAACAACTGAAAGTGATGAACAAGCTGAACCTCAGCCATGCTCTAGTTCACAAATAGCCACTGTCCAGTTTGTACCATGGTAATCGCTTCCCTTCTCTTAGTTGATTAGTAATGTTAGTAATGTCTAATGTTAATGTAATGTCCATAGTAATGCCTATTAAGATCAGTGGCAAAACAACAGTCAGTTTGAAAATGTGTGAAGAAAAATAATTCTCCCTTTTCTTTGAATTGGAAGTGATTATTAACTATATTAATACTCACCATTAGCAGCTGCATTAATTGTATGTTGCACTCATGTGATCACACTGTCCATGCATGTAAAAACATTTATGTATTAGATTAACTGTACATACCTTTTTGTTGTCAGGATGTTTGTTTGTCTGTTTTTCAGTTTTCTAGTGTTAATAGTATTTTATTGTCTTCCAGTACACATTCACTTATCCCGAAGACCAGGCTAGAAGCGGCCTACAAATCCCTGGCCACAGGTTTAAATAAAAAAACATTTGCTCAGTTGGAGGAAGAAGTAGACAGAGAGGAGCTGGAAAAAGAAAATTTTTGCGAACAGCTTTCCATGACATCAGAGAGGTGCACAAGTGTGGACTTGGAGGAACTGTTATTTCAGAGAGACTCAGGAGGCCCTATGGAAGCTTCCCCAGCAGACCAACCAACACAAGCAAATGCCATTCCTCCAATTTGGGCAGATTTACACTTTAAGAATCCGATTGTGCTGTGTAAAAGAGAGAACTACACTGTGTCTCGGCTGGTGGTGGAACCAGACAGTCAGGCAAGTTCACGCTGCACAACCGCTTTAGAGGAACTGGAACCTGAGGTCAGAAGGAAAAAAACACCACAGACACTGTCTGCATCTAATGAAAAAGACCGTCAGTGTCGGGGAAGAGACAAAAAAGGTGCCACGCCCACCCAAAAGAGCTGCATTCAAGCCAACAGAACTCGCACCAGGTAAGTTAAAGTAGCAAATAGCAAGATGTTTTTGCTATCCGGTCGTTAAGTCTGACGTCATTAGCCGTGCCTGGGCCCAAACTCCGCTGCAGGTCCTTAAGTCACACGATCACTGCAGCATCACTGAGAGTTAAAAACTGTCTAAATTCTTTCATCTGTAATAAAATGATCAGTGTGGCTGCTCTACCAGGTGTAACAATTACGTTTAACATCCAGGCATCCATGAAAACTGAATCTATGAAGTTTAACGGAGTTAGAAGTTAGCAGGGAGTTAGCTCGCGAATTTCCATCTAAATATAATATACCATGTTCTGACCGAGGGATTTCTGAAAAAATTAAGACGTACAGCTCAGCTATCACTTCCGACATAAATGAAGACAGAAAAGTAAACAGCAGTGACTTTTGTAGGGTTACTGAAGTTGGACTAGCTGGTATATAATGATGTGCTACGTGATCGCTAGCGATCATATAAACAGTGAAGCTGGAGGATGAACGCTAACCTTTTTCCACTCGATAAAAAGTTAATGTGAGGGTTCCCGAAGGTTAGGGACAAATGCAATCGCATGGCAGGATGCTGTAAACAGACCAAACGTCAGTCAGGAGAACAACTGAGATAATCCATCCACAATATGAGGTTAGTCATTAATATACTGCTGCATGGGCTGGGCTGCAGTTACATCGTAAGGTCTAAAAACAGATTTAAAATGATTAGCTGTAATAAAAACTGAGAGAGGCCGACAGTGATCACTGACTGTTTTTAGGGACTTGAGATTAAATAGAACAAGATACAAAGCATTAAAACGTGTTAAATACACAACAGCCTTATTAAACACAGAGTAGTTTGGGCCGGGAAGCAGGATTCATCACGTCCTCACTTAAAGACCAGATTGTTTCGCCTCGTCCATGCCCCACAACTTACGTCTGCCCCTCAGTTTGAGAACCACTGTGTTATGAGAAAGTTACTGTTTAGTAGATATACAACATTAAAAACCGTTTGTTTCAGCTGTTTGAGTTGACTCCTCTGACTCTGCATCCAGCAGGGAAAGTTATGCTGCAGCACAGCAGTTTGATGGTTTACTAAGCAATAAGTCCAAATGTGCATTTCTCACCTGTTACTGGTTACTAGATTGTCAATTTTCAATGTTTGAACTTATTTTATAATAACTTTGATGTGAAAACTAATAACAACCATCAATCCATTTTTCTGCTACTTATCTGGCTCTGGGTTATGAGGGCAGTAGCCTGAGCAAAGATGTCCGGATTTCCCTATCCCCAGCCACCTGTTTTAGGTCTTCTGAGGGTATATTTTGTTTTCACCATGTCAGCCAAATCACTCCAGCATGTCCTGGTCTCCTTCCAATTAGACATAGCAGAAAACACCCAATTAAGTCCTAAATCCTAGTAGGATGCTAAAAAAAAAAAAACAACTCACCCAATTGTCTTCTTTAGGTCCACAACATGATTGATATTTGACCAGTTTTATTTATTTATTCAGGAATCAGGATAATATGGACGTCAGCCGTACCACATCCTCTTCAGTGGAGAGCTCACCAAGTGAGTCACCTTCTCATCCTGTCCGACAAACAACCTCCACTCCTCACAAGGACTCTGGTCAAAAGAAAAGTCCTCGTCTTTTAAAATGGTTAGTAAACGCCAGTAACTGAGAAACTAAAAGTGGTAGAATACACCTGGGTGAATATTTCACCCAGCGTGATTGAGTAATAGTTCTAATCATTTTTAATTTTTATCTTTTGTAGTTGTGCTTAATCATTTTGCCAAACAAAAACACACTCTGGATCTTATTCACAGGAAGCGACTGTACCATGATGCACAGGAGAGCAAGGGCGGCGAAGAGTCGTATGTTACCCCTAACAAGAGCGGTATGTAACACTTCATTAAATATAAAATGTTTATAAATATTCAATAAGACTAAAGCAAGTTTGCCATCTGAAACATCTGGTTTTAATGTTTTTCTGTTTGTTTGTTTTTTTGCCTTCCTACAAAGGCTCAGACATGAGCACCAATTCAAATTCAGGCCAAAGGAAAAGGGTAAGTATAGCAAAACATGCTACAAAGCTAACTTGTCACTGTACTTTCCTGTGGATGTTATTTATAAATATAAATAATTAATTTATAATTTATTTACATAAATTACACTAAGTCAAACTCTTTGTTCAATACAGGCATCTCCATTTACAGTTTAGCATATATATTTTGTTCCTCTTTTGCACAAAAAGTACTCATTTGCAACCATCATACAAATGTAAGTTCCTGTATGAATAATGCAGTACACATGAGGACATTTCACTTTAGTCAGTTACATTAAAAACAATTGAAACAATGTTTGGACTCTCCACAGTAGGAAAAAGCTAACAAATCTTTCAATTGTGTTGCAGAAATGGACAGAGAGTGAGACGCAGAAGTTAAAAGACGGGGTCAAAAAATTTGGAGAGGGCAACTGGTGTAAGATAAAGGAACACTACGGCTTCAAAGATCGAACAAATGTCAACCTGAAGGACAGGTGGAGAACAATGAAGAAGTCAAATATCGTCTGACTCACCAATGTCATTTTATCCCATCTCCATTTATTTATTTTTGTTTCTTAAGCAAGTTATTGATAATTTTAAAAATTTGTTTATAGATTTGGTAAATGTTCAGTGTCCACGGCTCAAAGATTGTTTTGTTTTGAGGAAGGGATAAAATGTTACTGTATCTTTATGTTACTGTAATGTTACTTTCATTTGTGTTTCACGGGGTCCTAGAGGATTACAAGACATGACTCATACGTCCCTTTAGTGAACAAGGACAAAATTCAAGGTCTCTCTTCTTCCCCCCCCCACCCATATAATCCTAAATTTAAGTGACATTAATTAGCTTTTTAAATTGGATCCATTCTGTATGCTATTGTGACTACATGGCACTGAAGAAAACGAGTCTCCCCATCAGGATGCTACGCAAATGTTGATTAATTCCACATTGTGATCAGTGCGGATACAATTTAGTATATACAGAGTAGCTTTAAAAGTCAAAAATTTCTCTCAGTCTTGTGATCTCAGAAAAGCAGAACAGACCTTTTAATTAAAGATATGACAGCAGCAAAATATCCATTTAGCTGAGATCTACAGGTATATTTTCCCCCAAACAAACTATCGATAAAAAGAATGAATGGAGCAACCTTTTGTGTGTGTGTGTCAGGTCTGATGCAGTGAAATAGATATAAAAAATAAGCCCAGGGAATTTAAAAATCCTTTCCTGTTTACAAGCACAAACCCATATTGAGACATACATTTTATCATTCAGTCCCTATTAAAAATAATGATGAACATGAACAAAGTTCTGCTATGACATTACTGTTGGTAATTCTGGGTAAATATAGGTGCCCCTTAATGTTCTTTATTCTTCACTTACAGTATTAATAGCTTCCATTGTTTTTTCTCTTCAGTAAATATAGTGAGATTCCAGAAGTGACACTGCAAAATAAAACACGTTTCCTTTTCTCCACTTCTCCGATAACTGTCTCACTTTCATATTCTGTGAAACCGTTCTTTGCTGTCATTTTCATTTATGCGTGTAGTCCAATTAAACCCGTGTAGACTGAAATATCAGTGAGCTACCTTAAAATGAAGATTTAAGTAGGAGAGTAGTGAAATGTAGCAGATGGAAAAAATTATATATACCAAAAGAACTGCGTTAATAATGCCTTTACAATGTAAACATGTTACTTTCTGCTACTGTACTTTTTTTTTTTTTTTTTTTATCCAAATACATTTCTTTCTAAACAATACCAATTATTTTTAGGCTTTAATTTTTATTTTTTGGCCCATAAATTGCATTATTATCATTCAAGCTCCCCAGGAAAATAAATGAGGCGTTATTAAAATGTCACAACGGTTTTAATGGCTCAAAACTGTACAGTGCTACAGCAACAAGATAGTTTGCCTAGTCGAGGTTTCTGTAGCAGCTTGGTGTTTGTGCGGTAGGAAAGCTCTGCTTTCTCATCTGGGATTGAAACCTGGATTATCAGGGCTTGATAAATCAGAGTTAGTTAAATCTAGATCAGGTATGTGTAAAAACAAATTGTTTAAGGCAAAAAAAAAAAAAGGAAAGAAAATGCAAAAACAAAATCACTGTTAAAATTGAATGTCTAAAGCGTAATGCGCCTTCCAGTCCAGTGTGTGGCAGCACGAGGTTTTGCGAGTATACGATTTGCCAATGAGTTCAAAGAGTAAGTGTAAGATTTAGTTCTTTTCTTCTTCTTTTTTTTTTACTCTAAATTGAGACCAATGTATTGTTATACGTAGTATTAATTGAGAGTTGTCTCAAAGGGTGTCTTCTGGGGTAGTTGACCTGGTTATTAACTTCTGTCCGACAGAGATAAAGAGTATTGTAAGGAAAAAATGAAGAAAAGATGGCAAAAACAGTGGCAAGAGGAAAGAGGGCGGGGAGGGGGAATGAGAAGCACAGGACAGGAAGGAGTAGGAGAGAGGAGGTGGTCATATCCAGAATAAGATTTGAACATATTGGTTTAAACACTACACTATTCATAATGGGGAAACATAATACAGGGAAATGTGACTACTGTGGAGAAGAGGAAACTATAGAAGTATCAGGTGGAGAGAAGTCAGCTGACCCCAAACCTCAGTAATATGAAAATGAAACTAGATCTTATTGATTTACTTGAAAAGGTCTCGTGAAAGTTATCAGGCCTTATTCCGGTTTTTAAAAGAGGGTTTGGGAGGATTTGAGGGGGGCGGTGTGAGTGACGTTCCGTCCACACTCCATACCAGTTGGTGGTGGTAATGCACAATTCAGCTGTTTGCCAACCGCCCATAAAATTTAGAACTAAAAGAAGAAGTCTTCCGTTGGATATGAACGTTTTGTCTGTTTTTGTATGTGGTGTGTGTTTTGTTTTGTCTTTTTTTACGCTTTTGCTGAATTCTGCCTCTAAAGAATTGGAATGAAGCGCCACCTGACAAGCTAAACCCGGAGATTAATAACCCATCACTCCCTATGAATATGGCGGCAAAAGAAAACGTAAACAGTCGCCAATTTGATACTGAATCCGTGGTGAACCGCTGGGTAGTGGATTATTATTTGTTTTTGGCGCTAGAGTTGTTTAAAAAGGAACAATATGAGGATTTCTGTGCCATCACAGATGTACTCGACAGTAAGTAACAATCAGTTTAGCGTGTTTTGACTAGCCTACGTATCTCTGGGATTACCAGAACTATGTTTTGCAAGCTTGTTATCCTTGAAAAGTGAAGAAGTGCTCTATATATGTCAACGTGTCACGGTTCGTGTGCTGGACTAATTGTGATGTAGGTTCGTGGTTGCATGTCCCACTGGTTTATGTCATTTATGTGACATTTTTATCAATCTTGTTTTTATTGTAGATACTTATATTATTTTGCTACTGCCTACTACTTGTTTCATCAAAAAAATAAATATGCATTTTTTAGCCTTTTGATTGTTTTCTTACAGGTGTCTTGGTTCGTCCTTATGGGCCCATTGATTTCATGCCACAAAAGATTCAAGTGTGGCGGTTTCTTTGCCGGATAAATGAAGGTGACAAACCTGGTGAGATCAACATTGACCATTTATTATCACACATCTGTCAGTCTGATTCATGGTAGTGCTTCTTTTGCATTGTGAATAAACACTAAAATGAACCTGTTTTTTTTTTTTTTTTTTTTTCTCCCAGCTGCAGACACGTCTTCTCAGTCGGTATGTCCTCTGGAATCAGCCCTAATGTTGCTGGAAAGTATGAGCCAGGAGTTCAGTATCCCACAACAGGATTACAAGAACGTATGCACTTCAATTAAAGAAATGGTAAGCATGTTCCTTATTGTTTTTTTTAAATCACCTATTCAATTTATGCACATGATTCGTTTTTACATTCCCTTTCACAAAAACATACAGACATACTATTTTGTTTAATCAGAGACTATAAATGAAATTATTGTGCTGCTAACTTGATGGTGTAAATGCATGGGCGAACGTGTGTACACATCTTTTTTTTTTTTTTTTTTTTTTGTGCCAAAGGATGAATACATGAACTTACTAAGCCTGAGCTAAATTCATTTTTTTTACATTATTAATCAGGTTTCCCAAAATGTTGATTCTGTTCATCTGGATGTAGCATTTTCAGTGGGAGAAACATTTCATCACTCATCCAAGTACCTCACAGCCCGTTGTTCATTCAGTGCAGCCCACTGAATGCTATCAGCTATTGTGCAAATGTACTGTTTATAAGGTTGGGGAAACCTGCAGTAGTTGAGACTGTCGAAGTCACGTGGATGAGTGACGAAACGTTTCTCCCACTAACACTACACAGAACAGAATCAACCTTTTGGAATTTACTTACCTGGATCATTGAGCATGCATCAAGACATTAATCAGGTTTTTTCAACAAGTTATTTGTTTCTGTCTTTAGATTATAATGCTTTCTATTAAGAATGGAAAATTTGAGAAAGCAGGAAAGGTGCTGAACAAGCACTTTACCAAGAAGATGGATGGCAGGGTGAGTTCACTAATTAAAACATATTTTTCCTTAAGCAATATTCTTTGATTGTTTTATCTTGGTAACTCTATTCACATTGATTGCCATTTTGACATTATTTACAGTGTTAAAATTAGTAGTTATAAAAATGCTGTGTAAAAGCAATAAGAGTAGGGGTACTTGGTTAAATCATGCTTGCGGAAGATGGGGGGGGCTTTTTAGCTTTAACTGTAAACACCAAAATATTATTATACTAAATTATTGATGGTGATTCATGAAGTTTTTTAGGTGTTCATGTAGTGTCTTATATTAATGAAATATTTGTGTTCTGTGTAGAGAATGCTGTTCATGGGTCTTATCAGCAAGAAAAATAAAAAGCATGAAGTAATTGAGCAAATCAACTTTGCACGGTTCAAGATGGAGATGCTGGCTTTTTGTGAAAGGCTCTGCCCATCAAGCGTTCCCTTTCTCCAAAAGGTATGAATGCTATACTTAAGATAAAGGCTTTGTAGTTTGTTTGGGGTTTTTTTTGGTTTCTTTTTTGGTTGTTTGTTTCTACTTTGTGATCAGTAGGAAATGTTTGCCTGTGACTTCTGTTTATTCTGTTGAAAAACAATTAACAAAACATTGTGGATTTGTCTGTAACATAAAAGTCTTTACACTTACACTATATAAAAGTGTATATTTTTGTGTAATTCTACCAGGCTGCAAATCGGCTTATTCAGGAAAAGAATAAGGAACAAGACAGCAGTGCAGCTAGAGCTGATGAGCAAGTCCAACCGGTCCCCTCTTCAAGTCCACAAGTAAACATGGTCCAGTCTGTACCGTGGTAAGATATCTGTCCCTCTCAGGTGATCTGATCTAATCTGATCAGATTAGGTTTTATTAGATCCTAATAAGTACAGTTATGCTTATCTGTGCTGAGTATTTGCACATTGTGCTCTCTTATAGTCTTAAGCTGCCCGGAGCCCTCACACAAATGCCCAGAGAAAAATCACTCCCCATCTGGACTGGGAATTGCAAACATCCATCACAGATGACTGTTTTAAATTTATTACAAATGAGAAATGTGGTCGTAGTTTCTTCATTATTCAGTAATAGTGAAAGCTATTTCAATTCTGAAATTGAGTACTACTTCCGTTAATATATTGCACACTCTGTATCTACCCCTTGTCAATGCTGGGCAGCATAATATCAGTTGAGAACGGTTGCAGCTTGAAAATCCAATTTAGATTTCCATTTTTTTTTTTTTTTTATTGTTGTTTTTTATGATATTTTCAGGAGTACTAGATTCAGCAAACCATAAAAGGTTTAATTAGGTCCCCTTAACTTTAAAAATACACAAAATAAATCAATATAATCCCAAATTTTTTTCAATAATAATTTGCTCTCTGGTGGCCACTTGAGTACAGTGAATGCAACAAAGAACCAGTTTGAAATGATGTGAGCCTTGTAACAGAGCATGTTATACTGCTGGAGGCGGCTGTCAGTGTACATTTGGGCCATAAAGAGATGGACAGGACCAGCAGCAGTACTCAGGAAGCCTGTGTCATTTAAACAGTGTTCAGCTGGTACTACGGGGCACAAAGTGTGCCAGCAAAAAATATTCCCCCACACCATTACACTAGCATCGCATGTGTTATGCATTCAGACATGCTCTTCTCCATACATTGGTTGTACTGAGTGGTTACTGTTTACCCCCTGTTGGCTCAAAGCAATCCGCCCATTTTCCTCTGAACTTTATCAGGTTGTCTTGACCATGTCTACATGCCTAAAGTTTCTGTGCTATCATGTGACTGGCTGACTAGGTGTTATCGTTAACAAGCTGGTGAACAGGTGTACCGATTAAATTAGCAAGTGAGTGTGAAAAGTTAAATATGTGGCGAGACATCCCTTTTCAGCCCCTTTTCCTTGTCTGCATCTTAATTTCCAGCAAGCATTCAACTATCCAGAGGACCAGGCTAGAAGCAGCCTACAAAGCCTTGGCTACAGGATTAAATGAGAGAATGTTTTCTCAGCTGGAGGAAGAAGTGGAGACAGAGGACCAGGAAAGCGAGCATATGTGTCTGCAACTCTCACCTGATCCTAAAATGGACACCAATTTGGACTTGGAGCAGGAAGTGTTATTTCAGAGAGACTCAGGCAGCCCCATGGAAGCTTCACCGGCAGACCAACCACCACAAGCAGATGCTGTTCCACAAACTCAGGAAAGTTCGCTCTCAAAGACAACTTCTGTGCCATGGAACGGACAGCTTTACACTCTGTCTCGGCTGGTGATGGAACCAGATAGTCAGGCAAGTTCACAGTGCTCAAAGGTTTCAGAGGAACTAGAGACCGAGGCCAGAGTAGAAAAAGCACCACAGACACTGGCTCTGTCAAATAAAAGAGACTCACAGTGTCCAGTTACTGACCAAGAAGTTTCCATACCAGCACCAAAACGCCACAGAAGGACCAACAGAATTAACAGGAGGTACTTATATTTGTTTTTTTCTTTTCCAGGAAAATGATTAGTAGGCACTATTTTCTTACAAGGTTGTAAGGTTTTGCATTTCAGCTTACTTTTAGTATTTGTTTAATCAGTGTATGGCATTAAACCTTTTTTTTTTGCTTTTGTTTACAGAGTTTCAACTAGTTTTGCTGAGTTGTCAGCAGAGAGTGAGGAGGACTCTCCTCATTCTGTGGCCAGCACAGCAGTTAGTGTGAAACGTCATAACCAGTCCAGTAGTTCACCCACCAGGTAAAATATTAGAACTCTTAACAATAACCAGAAAGACTTCACCGTCGTTAGAGCAAATATGCATTCATGTATTGTCAGTTTGTTTGTAATTATTGACTGTATCTCCTTGTTTTAAGCTAGCTCAATATTAATGCTAATAAAAGTTACTCAGGTCAACTTACACTTAACAATAAACTAGTTAAAGCAGCTATTATACTCGGTTGCCCACGGTGACTCAGATAACTGTCCACACAATGAATGAATAGTTATTCCTGTTTTAGTTCTTTGAAGTCTGACTGAAGGGTGTGTGCGTAGTTGATGTTCTATAATGTTTTCACAGACATGTCCAGACAGTCACAAATCATTGGCAGGCATATGGATGTCAGCACAGAGCCTCATGAAATTTATGTAACTCAGAACCGACAGCGTGTAGTAAAACACATGAGACATGAAGCTCAGAACTCTAAACTATCCTCACTCTCTTATGTTTCCCCCTCCTCTCTAATGTGAGGGTTCAGTGCAAGTGAACAGGACTCACTTTCAAAGAGAATTCAAATTACACTTTTGTGTATTTGATGATGTCATTTAGTTAATAGTAATTGTTTTTTTAATTAGAATTACTCTTTGTTTTATTACTTTGGTGCTTAAAAACACATATATTAAACACTACAGATAAACAGTATAGTATCTTTCAGATCTCCAGTCAAAGCAAATGTTACATTTTGAAGATAATAGTCTAACAGTCTAACTCTTGTCTAACAGAAACATCAACAAGTCAAAACAGTCGTCATCAGACAGTGAAGGAGAACCACAGAAGCTCTCAGAGCCTTCAGTGAAGGTCTCTCCCAGTCTGCTCCCTCTGCACTCTGTTCCTCAGACAAGCTCCACTCCTCACAAGGATTCTGCTCAACTCAGCAACAACTCCTATTCAAAGAAGTGAGTAGAGATAACACCAGTAGTTTTGGCTATGAATAGATAGACGTCATATGTTCAAGTGTTCATCTTGAGTGTAAGATAAGTGATTTACTTTGATTTTTTTTTTTATTGGCCACAAAGATAACAGCAGTGAAATTACAGATGGGGAACACTGTAACTTGTTAAATACTTTATCAAGCATGGCAAGTCCATATGTACAGCTTCACTTTATACAGGCTTGACATGTCTTATAGCTAAAGATCTACTTTGGAGAACATTAACAATAACTTATTTTTCTGATGTTTGCTGTGCTGCACATTAACTGAAAACATTGAAAAACGGTTATAGATTTTTAGATTTCAAAATGAATTACTCTTACCTACGATGTATATGACACCAAAGCAATCGTCTTAATATACATTGTAGCTTAAGAGGCTGGATGGAATCATTTCAAACTATGGAGCAGAAAAGTGTGAATTAATGGAGAGAAAGAAAAAAAATTCCAACAGAAGAGACGTGCAAAAGACTAAGATTAGCTCAGAAAAAGAAAAATGCATGAAAGAACTAGCTTCATCAGAGACCCATTTAAGATTACTGAAGACAACAAAGAAATCCCTGGAAGAACACCTTGGAAAATGCACTCCGACCCTGCAAAGTCAAGGGTCAGAGTCCATCATCAAAGGAAAGCTCTCCAACCAAAGGTTCTCAATTGACAACAAACAAAAAGCAATGATATCTGAGAAATCCATCAGAAGATGCTATGATGCAAATCTCAGACCATGAACAGATCAAGCAACTCAAGCAGGATGCTTGTAGGGACCTCGAGAAATTTGATCACTCTATGCTCAAAGCTTTGGGCCTTCCAGTTTGGCTTGCTGCCTCATGTACATTTTCTCAAAAGTGACTTATAAATTTATTTATAAACTTAAAGTTGGTTAACAGCTTTGTGGCATCATTGACTCTCATTTGTACTTTTCCCAGATCTAATCATACTCGTTGAAAGTCTAGCCAGCCTCTACAAAAAACTATTGCATCAAAAATAATTTTGTCTTTGATTCCTCATCTTTCTTCTATTGTATTGCTTCGTATTCTTAAATCTCTGTATCTACATCATGGTTTAAGACCTGATCCTTTTTGCAATGATAGTGTATCCCCCACATATTTTGTTTTTTTATGAAGAAGTTATTTATTGAAACATTTATATACAGGGAGTGCAGAATTATTAGGCAAATGAGTATTTTGTCCACATCATCCTCTTCATGTTGTCTTACTCCAAGCTGTATAGGCTCGAAAGCCTACTACCAATTAAGCATATTAGGTGATGTGCATCGCTGTAATGAGAAGGGGTGTGGTCTAATGACATCAACACCCTATATCAGGTGTGCATAATTATTAGGCAACGTCCTTTCCTTTGGCAAAATGGGTCAAAAGAAGGACTTGACAGGCTCAGAAAAGTCAAAAATAGTGAGATATCTTGCAGAGGGATGCAGCAGTCTCAAAATTGCAAAGCTTTGAAGCGTGATCATTGAACAATCAAGTGTTTCATTCAAAATAGTCAACAGGGTCGCAAGAAGCGTGTGGAAAAACCAAGGCGCAAAATAACTGCCCATGAACTGAGAAAAGTCAAGCGTGCAGCTGCCAAGATGCCACTTGCCACCAGTTTGGCCATATTTCAGAGCTGCAACATCACTGGAGTGCCCAAAAGCACAAGGTGTGCAATACTCAGAGACATGGCCAAGGTAAGAAAGGCTGAAAGACGAGCACCACTGAACAAGACACGCAAGCTGAAACGTCAAGACTGGGCCAAGAAATATCTCAAGACTGGTTTTTCTAAGGTTTTATGGACTGATGAAATGAGAGTGAGTCTTGATGGGCCAGATGGATGGGCCCGTGGCTGGATTGGTAAAGGGCAGAGAGATCCAGTCCGACTCAGACGCCAGCAAGGTGGAGGTGGAGTACTGGTTTGGGCTGGTATCATCAAAGATGAGCTTGTGGGGCCTTTTTGGGTTGAGGATGGAGTCAAGCTCAACTCCCAGTCCTACTGCCAGTTTCTGGAAGACACCTTCTTCAAGCAGTGGTACAGGAAGAAGTCTGCATCCTTCAAGAAAAACATGATTTTCATGCAGGACAATGCTCCATCACACGCGTCCAAGTACTCCACAGCGTGGCTGGCAAGAAAGGGTATAAAAGAAGAAAAACTAATGACATGGCCTCCTTGTTCACCTGATCTGAACCCCATTGAGAACCTGTGGTCCATCATCAAATGTGAGATTTACAAGGAGGGAAAACAGTACACCTCTCTGAACAGTGTCTGGGAGGCTGTGGTTGCTGCTGCACGCAATGTTGATGGTGAACAGATCAAAACACTGACAGAATCCATGGATGGCAGGCTTTTGAGTGTCCTTGCAAAGAAAGGTGGCTATATTGATCGCTGATTTGTTTTTGTTTTGTTTTTGAGTGTCAGAAATGTATATTTGTGAATGTGGAGATGTTATATTGGTGTCACTGGTAAAAATAAATGATTGAAATGGGTATATATTTGTTTTTTGTTAAGTTGCCTAATAATTATGCACAGTAATAGTCACCTGCACACACAGATATCCCCCTAAAATAGCTAAAACTAAAAACAAACTAAAAACTACTTCCAAAAACATTCAGCTTTGATATTAATGAGTTTTTTGGGTTCATTGAGAACATGGTTGTTGTTCAATAATAACATTATTCCTCAAAAATACAACTTGCCTAATAATTCTGCACTCCCTATACAGTGCTTTTAAGCTCATGACATTATTGGTAGCCAATGAAGAAACACAGACACTGCTCACTTAAAACCACAGTGTACAAGTTTAAACCAGATAACAGCTTAAGGCATTAGTAGTGATTTAGCATTTTGCAGTTAAAAGTTTCTCTCTACTTGTACACATTGTGCTGTTCCTTTTTATAAAACCTGGCTGTTTAACTTCAGAAATAAAGAGTAAAACATCATTTTAATCACCAATCACTCAAAACAGGTCGTTCCTTTTACAGAATATCATTGACTTTTTTTCTCATCTTGCAGAAAGTCTAAAAAGTCAATACGGTTATCGTCAGACAGCGAGGAAGACCCGAAGGAGCCTGTGACCTGCAAGAAAACTCCAGTACAAAAGCCTCATAAGCAGCTGTCCAGTGATCCTGTGGACAATCAAGTGTAACTACAGAATCTTGTATTTTATACCGGTGCTCTAGACGACTAATTAATCATATGATATTTGACCAGTTTTATTTACTTTGACAGGAATCAAGATGATACGGATGACATCCATATTACAGACTCTTCAGTGGAGAGCTCGCCAAGTCAGTCCCCTTCTCACCCCATCCCACAAACGATCTCTACTCCTCACAAGGACTCTGCTCAAAAGAACGTCCATTCCCATTTAGAATGGTTAGTAAACACCAATAAGTCTGAGAAAGTAACAAGAGGGCTGTAATATGTTAAAATGTAACATTTTGAATGCTTTATCCTTTTGATTGGTGCACATTTTGATTTGGTTTGAAGGTGTGAAGTTCCAGTCAATGATTTAGGGTGCCATGTCATCTGCTAGCGCAGGTGGCAATTGGTCTGCTGTGTTCTATTAAGCACAAAGTACACAAAGCAGGCTCTTACCAGGACATTTTAGACCAGTCTGTGCTTCCATCTGGAGATGCTGGTTTCCTTTTCCAGCAAGACTTAGCACCTGTCTACCCACAAGCTGAAAACTGTTGTCAAAGCAACCTGAGCTTTGATAACATTTCAGCAGTTAGAATAGAATAGAATAGAATAGAATTCAACTTTGTCATTGCACATGCACAGGTACAGGGCAACGAAATGCAGTTTGCATCCATCCAGAAGTGCTTTAGTGATATAGATATATTACAATATATATTAGCAATAATATAGATATGTGAGTATATTACAGTTACTCAAGCTAATTGCCTCCATGCCACACCACACTGATGCAGCAACTCATAGCAAAGGAATCCTAACCAAGTGTTTGATTTCTAAATAAAAACCCAGTATGAAATTAGTATACTGGATATTTCTGTTTTTAACAATCTGAAATCATGGATTTCTGATTTTTGAGCTACGGGTCATATTCACTTTTTTATGGTTAGAAATATTTAACATTACTCTATAAATATAGAATAAAGTTGACTATTTTTGAATTGTAAATGTCTCATATTGTTTTTTATATGCACTAGTCATTAGCTGAGAATATTTAATATGTGATTACATGCAAACACACACGAGTATTCCTCCCAGCATATCTGATTAATAGCCCTAATTATTTTTATCTTTTGTAGTTGTGCTTAATCATTTTGCCGAACAAAAACACATTCTGGCTCTTATTCACAGGAAGCAACGGTACCATAATGCAAAGGAGACCAAGGAGGTATGGAGCGACGAAGAATTGTATTTTACCTCCAAAAAGAGAAGTAAGTAATAGTTCATTGAATATTCAACTCGAATTCATGGAGTTTAGATGATGGGGTTCAAATAATTTTGTGTATTTATTTTTTTTTCTTCTCACAAAGGCTTAGACATGAGCACCATTTCAAATTCAGGCCAAAGGAAAAGAGTAAGTATAGCAAAACATGCTGCAAAGCGAACTGGTCACATTACTTTACTGTTGATATTTGTACTTAAATGCCTTTGTCACATAAATGTGTGGAATAGTCCATAGGGAGGACTTCTTGTTCAATATCACACAGTAATTTGCTGCTTTGCCTTTTGTTGCTATCATACAAATTGAAGTTCCTGTATCAAAACCATTGCATGTTCAGTCACTTGCACTGGTATTACAACTTGATCTAAAATGCTGTCATTTTTAGACTTCCCACAGTGGCAAATGGCTAACCGACATGTTTTTACTGTGTTGCAGAAATGGACAGAGAGTGAGACGCAGAAGTTAAAAGACGGGGTCAAAAAATTTGGAGAGGGCAACTGGAGCAAGATAAAGGCATATTACAAATTCAAAGATCGAACAAATGTCAACCTGAAGGACAGGTGGAGAACAATGAAAAAATCAAATATCGTCTGACTCACCAAAGCCCATTTCATTTTATCCCATCTCCATTTATTTGTTTTGGTTTGTAAATGTTGAATGTTTGTGGGTCAAAGATTGTTTCTTTTTGAGGAAGGGATAACAGAAATTGCAGTAATAGTGACTATTGTAGCATCTCTGCAGCCCTAAATAACAAACCCACTTGTTGAATTGATACAGAGATGGGAATAGCTTTAAAAGTCAGTATGTTACTCAGTCTTATGATCTCGGAAAAGCAGAACAGACCTTTAATTAAAGATATGAAAGCTGCAAAATATCCATATAGCTAAGATCTACAGGTAATTTTTTCCTCCCACACAAACTATTTGTAAAAAAAAAAAGATTTTAATTTAAATAATACAGAGATGTGGATTTATTTCAAGATTCAAGTTACAAAAAACATACACACAAAAACAAAACCCTTCTCATTTAATACAACAGGGAGGGGACAAACCAGGAAATTCTGCAAATGGCAGAAGTGAGTCAATAGACAGATTGTTTGTTTTAGCCTCTGGACTGTAGGGAAGTGTTCCAGGTATAACAGCTGCTCGTGAAGTAGGAACTTTGATCAGATCATGTCACTATAAAATGTTTAGCAGCTAAAAGTTGAACCTTTGACTTTGAGTGAGTGTTACTGTTAAAAATAAACAGTTTGACAGTCCACTTGTTTCTGCATCTTTATGTTAATGTTTCCTCATTTCTTATGAACTCGCCGACATCAGCCTGGTGGAACACAACGATAGACATGGGGTCCACTCGCCGACACTCCTGCGTAGACTTGGCCGCCACACCAAAACCCTGAAGATTAAGACAAACAGCCAGCCTATAAGTGCCTTTTGTCATATAACCTTGAGTTAATCAGGTATTAACCTCTTTTTAGTACATGAGTGGATCTATCCAATACCCTATTGTGAATACACGGCACTGAGGAAAACAAAACATCTGCATAATATGTGCTTTGTTTTCCAGCATGAGTGTTACCAACAGGAATATGTATCTTTGTTGTACTGTGAATACTGCCCATAACAGTGTGACAAGAAGAGCAACCTTTAAAGGACTTACCAGAGGCACATCTGCCATGGAGTAAACCACAACTCCCTGATACTGCATCGTGTTCTCAGTAATTCTGCCAAGACCAGATTTTAGCACGTGGTTCCCATACAGGAAAGACTGCTCTGTTCCAGGTTTCACCCACACCTTAAACTGAATACATGATAGTTTCAAGTTATTCATACATGAATGAATGAGTCCAATATGACAGCACAGATGAAAAGCTTGAACAATTAAGAGAAAGCCTAGAATTTCTAAGCACAAAGAGCTACTTCTCTCTTGTTCTCATAATATTTATAAACTACTTAATACAGGTTCTCGCCATTTAGGGTCTTCAAAAAGCAAAAAAATACATTCAGTTAAAGTATCCATGTAGCTAAGATGTGAATCTGTATGCACAGATATGAATCTGTATGCACAGATGTGAATCTGTATGCACAGATATGAATCTTCTCACCTATGAACTTCAATTTGTTGAAAAAAGATCTATTTTTATAGAGCATGTTAAGCCTAATGCAATGAGATGGAAAAAAATAACAGCCTGTTTATAAGTATAAACAAACTTTTGTACAGCACAATTTTTCATGCAATAAATCTGTAATAGCACACAGAATTGCACATGAGCCTGCAAATCATGTCCAGTGTTTCCCAGCAATGAACAATGATTTTATTTCTGATTGAATATTTTGATTTTCCATCTGTATAGTAAACAGCTGTTTATGCATGTGAAAAACAATTTCTACCCGTTGTGTGTCACTGATCCCAAAAACTGGTTATACACACTCCACTACTTTACATTTTTGCTGTAACTCTTTCAAAAACCCTTCTGGAAGATGATCTGGTGGCATAATTCAGAATGAGCCTCTACTATAGAGGACTTTAGTAATACCCGTATTGTTTCGTTTCCTACATCTTATTTAAGCTCCGCTTGGTATATTGATGGGAGGGAATGACTTGGCTGTGTGTTGTTTATAGTCACCTTTGCATATGGAGCAAGGAAATCCAGGGCTGTGATGTGCAGGCGGAACTTCTTGGTCTTTGTAAACTTCCCAAAACACGTACCCACTGACATGAGTTTGTCCCGGGAAAAGTTGGTGGCCAGCTTTAAAATTTTCTCACTGTGGACAGAAAACCAAACGCCTTAATCCTTACATGTACGGACAGGTACCCAACATGCGTGTTAATTAACCAAAATTACCTCATGTAGTAGACTCTGTCATGGTGCAGCCTGAAACAGTAAACGCCGTCTGGTCGGTCCACTAGAAGTTTTATGTTTTCACCAATGCTGTTACAAGAGAAAACACATGGATCACACACACATTCACAGCGTGAGCTACCGGGCTTGCTGAACGTGTTGGTATAATTTGAACCTTTACAGGCTAACACGGCGCAGGAACCGTTCACTCACTATTTAGATAACTTCTCGAACATCGTTTTGGTCTCTTCTTCTGTTAGCGGCCTCATATTTACTACTATAAATCCTTAACGTTAGCAACGGATAAACGTGTCTCCTGTGAGAAAAAAACGTGGGTTAACGCGGAAGCAGTAATGCTTTAAAACGGAAGTTGTGTGACGTAACAGTGATCACAGTTCCTGGTTTTTTGCCTCCTTTAGCGATCAGTTTGGACGGACGTGTTTTTTCTCCGGTAAACCGGTCGCCATCTGGTAAGTTTTCTCATACTAAATAATTACAATTCACAAAGAAATCTTGAGGAGTAGTTGGCTCTAATTGCGAAAACCAGCAATTGTTTCAGTTTTTGTTTTAATTTAATAACTGAAGTCACAGCTTCCGAAAATGGGCTGCGTTAGCTCCGACAGCTAGCTGTCAGTGGAAAAAAACACAGACCCGCGGCTATCATCGAGCCCGTGAACGTTAGCTGGAAAGCTAGCTGTATTAGCATGTGGTAGAGCTAACACTCCAATTTACTTAAGCAGTTCAGTTCTAATCAACGCCGACGCCCCGGCACAGCAGCAGTACATGTGTTGAACTGCACCCAGCTGCGAGCTGTGTTCAGACTGGTCATGTAAAGCGTCTTTGCCGCAGCGGGGCGAAGTTACATAACGCTCATTTGTTTGTAAATACCGATTAAGTTCCAGTAATCCAAGATCACCGGCAGAGTTGGTAATCCTTAAAGGATGTCAGATGTGGTTAAAATCATCATTAAACACGTCTGCGCTCATTTTACGACTCTTGATAATATGATTCAGTTGCACTGAGTGTCAGCGGTGCATAGCGTCAGCTGCAGAGTCAGTGTTACAGACTGGGAAATACACTCCGTCAGCGAGCACTTCGCTTTTGGCAGATCATTTGATCCTCCTGTCACCAATTGTTTGACAGCCAGAAGGCCTTCTACTGTGTCTTTCTGAGGCATCGACCAAAAAAAACGATTGACATTTCGAAATATGTGGTAACACTGTTTGATTATATCACCCTGTTTTGTGTGTGTGGGTTTTTTTTTTTGTTTGTTTGTTTTTTGTTTTTTAATCGTTTTGTTCGACTTGTTTACTCGTTTCAGTGTGAAATTTCATTGTTTATAATGTTTTTATGTTTGGTATTAATTATTTTGAGTATTAGTTTAGTCTTTTGTGGCTGATATTTGGACAGGAGTTGCAATACAAACACAACACTCTGTAAAGGGAGTTGGCTCACATTGAGAGAGTCATCCAAAACACAAAGCCTCCCCACCCTAGTTGTGTTGACACACTTGACTAAATTTGACAAAGACTGATGATGATTTTAAGATTATTTTATGTAATTTAAACTTAAATATGCACCCAATTTTAATTAACTATAATAGCTTTGTTGATCATATGTTTAACTGCATTTTCTTTGATCCTTGTAAACAAATTAGTAGATTAGTGATAATCCCACAAGTTGTTGTTTTTTTTTTTTTTTGTTTTTTTAAACAACATTTATCCCTTTTAACTACATTTTTTTTCCTAAGATATTTGTCAGTATAGCAACATTTACCATACTGATATCTTAAAATAAAAATTGTCATCCAACACCAAATTGATGGCCACAGTGTGCTTCCAAAATCAAATTTCTTTCCTTCATTATAGAATTAAGTATATTTTGAACAAGTACAGTACAGTGAAGACAGTTTTATTTTTTATTTATTTTCCCAAATGGTGCTCCACATTGCTGCTGCCCTATTAGTGAAATAAGCCTCTAGACGATTTCAAGTCCACAGAGATGTTAATTAAAATGGAAAGCTTATCAAGGTGTCGGAGCTAATAACAGCTTTCTGAAAATTGAAACACTGGCTGCTCGTTTAACCTCACAGCCCAAGGTTGGATTCAGGTAGTAAGTTATTTACCACCGGAGATTAACCACAAAAGGGAAAGTAACAGTGATCCCCTGGACAGCTTGTTGAAATAGAGGCCACACTCTGGCCCCATTTCTTTTTCTTAAGACTTGTTACAAGAGAAGTTAAATTTGAATATGGTGAACTTTCTGTTTTTAACCTTCTGACGTAAATGTTTCACCATGCCTCATATGTAGTATGTGTCTGACAGTAGTTTAAACGTATGATTAAAAATAACCATAGATTACCTCATCAGACGCGAGATGGTATCATACAAAAAGTGGCAAGCTTCCAAGAAAGGAATTTTTAAATATTGTTTTCAATCAAAAGTTGCTTCCTGTAAAAGTAAGTCCAGGGAACTATTAGCTATGGGGAACATGAGCAGCCGAAAGCTACTGATACACATCAAAATATATCAGCAATTGATTGAAATGTGTTTTTTTTTTTTTTTTTTTTTTTTCTCTTTTGTTAACGTGTCAGCAGGTGTGTGGTGCTCTGAAGTGGGACAAGACTTTTCGTGCCAACAGTTTACCCCCAAGAAGCCACTGGCCTGTGTCTGTCATCAGTTTCCGGCGTGTGTTTGTGGTTCTGGTAACACGGAACAGGAAGACGGGCGTAGAGACGTCTGAGCAGAGAGAGGAAACTGCTGCGGCTTCTTCGTTGGCCTCAGAATGACTGAGTTCTGGGTTTGTTTCAGTTGCTGCATTGCAGAGCAGCCACAGCCTGTGAGTATGAAATTTGCAAGAAGAACTGATTTATTTAATTTAAGCTGCCTTGTTTTTAAAAGTTTTTAATTTGAATATAGATTAACAAAGTAGCATTCATCCAGTTAAACACATCCTGGCAAAAAACACTTTAAATATATTTGCTAAAGGTTATCTGTTGGCAGACAGACAGTCTGGTTATAATAGGGAACTGTTTGATGTCACAATAATAACCCCTGTCCTGCCACAGCAAGTCTAAGTTGTTGAGTCCTTTGGAATGATCGTGAGTAATGTATCGATTACTCATCATATGTGGTTTACTGCTCAACTAATTCAGAGTTAATGACAAAAACATGCAGACCTTTGTACATTTCCTGTTTGTATTAAACTCCCCAAGTAATTGTTCTCATGGAAGGCTTTCAAATTTAAATTAACTTCTGAGTTTAGAAAACAAAAACTTCAATCAGAAGTTTCTTGTAGCTGCTCATAAGACGGGCACAGTGATTGGGAGGGAATTTGGATCATTCCTCACTGAAAAACTATTTGTTATTATATCTGGGATATCTTGACTTAACATTGAAGCTATCTAGGTCATGCCACAGTATCTAAATTGGTTTTAGACCCAGACTACAAAACCTAGTTTTCTTCATTTAAAAAAGTAAACCAAGAAAAACCCTTCTTGTTTATTTACTTGTGTGCTGTCACATGATCTGCCATGACTGCTGCCCAGATATCGTTCTGTAATGCGGTTATGAATTTATTGCTGCCTTTGTGAATGTGAGGTGTCGCGGACCTGAGCTATAAAAGCAGCTCAAGATAAGCGGGATTTATAGCCTCGCAAATGTGTCCGTCTGCATACAGTTTTCAGTCAGAGAGGGGAGACGGGTTTTCACCCACGCGAGAAACACTGCCGTGAAGTCCTCCTAGATCCTGACTGCGTCTCGCTGGAATCGGATGACGTATGCGACTGCCAAATGTTAACTGGTTGATAAGTGGGCCAGAAAAGAGCAGGGAGCAGTAGCAGAGTTCCACGGGAATAGGAGATCCTGTTTAAAAACTTCAAAGATCAAAAAATAATGTATGGAAAGCACAGACAGTGACTGCAGTGACAGTTTTCATTGTTTTTAATATTCGGTTTCACTTCAGCTTTTGTGTTTTATAACTTCGTTCTTCTTCGTGTTTGGCTCATAGACCAAAAACAACATGAGCCACAGTTGTCCACAGATTGTTTGTAGCACAGACAGTCAGGCCCTGGAGCGGAGTGGACAGCTAACACGCTCACTCTGCTCCACCATAAATCCCACTGTACTTTCTGCACCATGTTTTTATGGATGGTGTTTTGTGTCAGCTTGCCAGTACTCTTTTGTTTCCCTCTAAACATAGCACTCCACATTTTGGCAGGTTTGTTTTCTTTTCTGTTTGCCCACATTTGTCTTATTTGCCCACAGAATAGTTTGAGAATCTTTACAGTGAGGCATTCACATAGGTTTAGTTTTTCCAGCCTGAGTGTGATTAATCAGTGTCCATCATAGAAATTCTAAACTTTTCCCTGTTGTAGGTTTAGTAACCCTGGATCACTTTGGTAGTGAACTATCTGTTAACAGATAAGATAACACAAATGATTAGTTTTTACCTTTGTCTCAGTGCAGATCCACTATACTTCAAACAAAGATTTAAAAAGTAAACTGATAAGTGTTTAGTTTCTGATTCACACATGCTCTTCTCAGTTCCCAGTGATAGTAATATTTGCTTTGTGTGTAGTATGGTAAGTCTACTTGTGATATTAATATTTAAATTTAGATTTTTGCTACTTTTCAGAAACGGCGGCGAAGGATCGATCGCTCCATGATTGGGGAGCCGACAAACTTTGTTCATACCACACATGTAGGCTCAGGGGACATGGGCCTGGGTTTGGCATCAGTAAGTTTTGGTTTTTTTGTTTGTTTTCACTGAATTTTCAAACATGTGTTTTCAGCCAGCTAACATTTATATATTTCTATAGGTCGACCTAGTTCAGGCCCAGATGAAATCTAAAGGAGGATACGCGCACACAAGTTCTGAAGGTTCGCAGTTGTAACGAGGTGAGAGATGTCCTGATATCCCTTAGTGAAACTGACATTAACCACAGATTTTTTCACTACCCCAAAGCCACACAAGCACAGTTTCATCTTGTTTTCATGCAGCCAGAGCCAACTTATAAAAGGTCAAGTTTGTTTTTGAGTGAATTTTCGTTTTTTGTTTTTTTTTTTTTGTTTTTTCCCTTCCCTAGCAAAAGCAGTATTTGTCTTGTTCCTCTGTCTTCCAGTTCTTTTAAATAATAGATTAGAAATATCAATATCATATAGGATGTGTGAAATTCTAGACTTGGGGCTCTAGCCATAAGTCAGTGATAGTGTCAAAGTTCTCGTGACTGTTTCCATCTTGTAAACCTCAAAAGTTTGCTCCACCCATGCACTGTCAAAAACAAGTGATGGCAAATCAAGCCTGCACACAACAGCAGGCTTGCCTTATGTGGCTTTGAGAGGAAATGGGAGAAATGCAATGAA